TCACACAGTTTGGATATTTGGAGTGCGACAGCCCTGGTCCGTGATGGTTGCGTGTGCTCGTGACCAACTCCAGAATCAGTGTAAGGCGACCATAACTCTATTTCCTCTTGTGGCAACACATCAAACTTGGGCACAATAGCGTTGGTCGAGGTCAACTGGGGTTGACGACCGAGGTAATTTGACCAGCATCTGTAGAGAGTTAGAGAGGCATTAAAGATAATCAAGGCAGTGGAGACTGACTTGTCAATGAGATAGCAACCCCAAAAGGTGATCCGTCGAGCATCAATCTCTTCGTCGCTGAGGCTGTGCGCCCCAAGATTTGCCGAATCAAGATTTAACCCTAGATCAAAGGCCATGCGGAAACTGAGACCGCTGTAGACCCAGCCTTTCCCTTCGCGGCCACATCCCGCCTCTCGGACAGACATAAGTGCAAATGCCTGGACAGTGCAAAGCTTTGCATTCTCATGCTCGTCATTTTTCATTACGAGTCGCTTCGCCTCTTTGAAGAAATGATTTCCCGCTGTTGCAAGATTTTGGGGATCATCAAAAGCACCTTGCCACAAACTGAAATGGCAGCCCAGAGCTAGGATAGCATTGACGAGTAATGCAGAGCAGTATGAACTGGAAGCACCGCGGATGTAATCCCGATAGAACATATCCTTAGAAAGGATAGTGAAGAACGGATAGTGCCATGTAAAGTACATGGTCATCAGATGACTGATCAGGTTATCATCGTCTGTGACTTCGGTCCACCGGCTCACAGTATGTGTTTGATTATCGGCATCGAACGCGACGTTCTTTTGGATCGAAGTAGACTCCTGCAGCTCGGAGCCTGGCGGCAAGAAGATGAGGTTTGAGGTACCTCCAATAAATTTGCGAGAACCGTCAAGCATGAGTTCACTCATCTTGCCGGCCAGCTCGGATTCGAATTGATCTATCTCAGCTATATTCTCATTGCTGGTTGACTGCTTTGCTGCTTGGTCCGTAGTCATGAGCCCTTTCTCTTGGGCGATCACCGAAGCAGCTACATCTTCGAGATCATCACAAGAGCGAATCTGACGTACTAATTCGAAAGCATCCGCTTCCTTGTAGTTTAATATTGCCTGTATCAATGTCTGTAGGGTGGTGTCTCGGGTCCGCAATGTGTTGAGATCTTTCTTGTAAACACCTTTGCGGCGGTGATCCGAGTTTGGATCATATACACCTATGAGGAGTTAGCAATGTCGATATTTCTCTTTGTAAAGCGAACCCATACAACATGTATGATATACTGAGGAGCAAGCTGCACAGCTGGGCTGGTTCCCATCACACTACATGCAGATGATGTTAGTAATGTAACGTCTCGACATCAGAATATGAGAGTCCAACCTTTGACTTCCTTTTGCGGCAGGCGACACAGGCTGTGCTAACACATCGTCTTTTGGGTGGTTGAACACGTTCGGCACTCATGATTTCAGATATTTGGACAGGTGCGATTCAAGTGAGTATAACAGTTGCTCCGCGGGTCTTTTCGCATGCCTAGTGTCGTGATTACGTGTGACTGGTCTAAACCACGACATTTGATGTCCATCTTTTAGAGTACAGAGCTCGTTAATTGAACATGGTGACTGGCTAAATCGAGGGTGCACACAGTGGCTATGTCGGCATGTTAGTATCCCGGACCATCCATGGCGATCCAATCCGTTTAACCAGGCGCTAAGATCTGAGATAGCGCCTTAGAACAAGGAAAGATCAGCGCACCCACTACACTTGAAGATCTACACAGGCCTGGTGGCAATTGTAGATGGAAGGGTGTACCCCACGATTGCAATGACGCAATGACCCGCAGTGGAGGTGGGGACAAGCTCAGTGCAAAAGGCAAGAACAGAGATTGGTGACGCCCTTGAAATTAATGAATGCGCAAGCAGGACGACGCAAGATGTGGTAATCGCTGGCCTCTGGATGGATGTCGGGGATGTCCATTTTTGACCGGCTGACAAATGGCTTCACGTGGGTCCCAGCATCTACAAGCTAAAAATTAAAGTTTTGTCGATAATAGGCTCCATTCGATTTATATTCAAGTGATTCTCACATTTTCTCTCATACATGTCTCGGATATTGCCTGAGGGATTCAACACTTTGCGGGTTGTATAGACTGATTGAGGTGACATATGTGTATTGTACCGGATCTTCCCTGGATCTTGTTTGAAATGCCGCTTTAACGAGGACTCTCTCGGAGTAAATGTCTATCAGCACTATTGTGGTCCCTAACGGATGTTAGGGCCTTATATATATGCCGCTAACCTTTGCAATGATGCCGGCAAGTGGTCGAAGGCCAGCGGCATATTCGGTGGCAGGTGTGCCCTGAAGGCTTCCGGTGCCACGCTTAGTGTCGCCCCCGGCGCCGCCTTGGGCGGCCTCCGCGTGTGTGGCGGGTTATCCTTCTGCAGGGGGTTGATTCTCCATCGTGGCAGTTAGTTGGGGGTTCAGCAAGTTGAGTCTTGGGTTTCTAGGAGGTTGTTGTCTTTTGCCTCCTTTTCTTCCACTTGCTTTTACTTCTTAGGGGGCCCTCACTTATCGCCGCGGTACTTCATTTACAGGCACAGATACCAAGAAGCACAAAATGCAATGAGAAAACTCTACAAAAAGGACGACAGCGGACAAGGCAAAGCACTCAAACTCCAATCAAAAGGTTGCTGGAATATATCGATTAGATGTTCCAGGCGCAGGTTCCGGTGTGGAGGTTCAATGAATTTGTCTGTACGGAGTACTCCGTACGAGGTTGGGCAGATGGGGGTTGATAGGTACCCAGTTGGTGTTAACGGTGAGAAAAGGGACGGCCCTACTACAACGGAGATGGAATAGCTGGGGCTGTCCTAATTTGTTCATACTCCGTACTATGTTTCATCTCCAGTAGCTATGACCAACGGATGAAAGATCACGGTGTGGGGCGCTAGGGAGAGGGGCCATGAATTCTCCGAGCACAACTATCACATAAATAAGCTAATATAACAAGCCTGCACAACATAATCAAAATCGTTGAGGGCCATGATCCACAACGTAAACCGTGCAATTCTTCAGATACGTTGCAGGAGTACCAGAACGGACTAACAATCTAGATGATTTGTCTGATAACCAAGACCGCAATTTTCAACGCAATGACCTTGTATAGAATGGAGATTGACTGCTAGAGCACGCGATTTGCGGTTATGGAATAAAGTTGGGTCACGGATGTATGAATTCTTTCAGATACCATCAGAACGAACACTCGTGATCAGGAAGCTAGTCCTTTTTTAAAACAAGATAACACAGTGCACAAATCTACTCTTAAGATTCAAAAGCGGCAAGAGGTGAGTACTAAAATGGAAGGGGAATCGACGGCCATTACCCGGGATAGTTCGGCCACAAGCCAAACAGTCCGACTACTCCGCAGATAAGACCAAATCACAATTAAACCATCCATGTATGACTGCCTAACCTCACAGAAAGGCAGGTAAAATTTGGTATACCTCGTGTAAGGGTACTCCACCAGCCACGTCTCAGCTTTGCTTTTTGAGATTGTGGACATTTTTGATGTATATTTGCAAATCACATCGATGCAATTCCCTCGAACGGGTGAAATAACATGTTCAGGTAACATTGTATGTGACACGGAATAAGTGGGTCCTTTTGTTGTTTTGATTTTCAAGGCCTATCTTAGCGTTTGCATAACACAGTTGACATCGAATATTTGAATAGGTAATTGATGACGGGGTACGGAGTACTTCGGAAGCAATGGTCCAAACTTGGAAGTGCGATGAAACGAAAGATGATTATTAAGCCACAATCACTCCGTACAAGCCACTAATATAGGGAAGAAAACAGGGGCCTCACCGCAATCATTGATGTTAATGCTATTATCTTCGCTTAAGGCGGCCCACTAGCCACGTTGGGTCTCTTCGACTTGACCGTTTGGGACACTGCAGCCACCCGCTCCATATGTTTTTCACTTGAATCGGGAACCGGAGGAGCTTCGGAGTTCCTGTCGATCTATCAATGTGACTCAAAATGCAAAATTTCGATTTATCATTGCTGATTCCGTAAAATCATAAGCAAATCATCAAGACCAGTCGAAATGACCAAAAAATCGCAAAAAAAACGATCTTACCTTTTATTTTCGGTATTTATTCTGGGGAGAAAGATGTGTGCATCTGCCCGCACCGCACTAAAAGCAACCTTAAAGGGTCCACACTTGTTATTCAACACTGATCTGAACGGTTGAGATGGGTATGATTCGTTTTCAATGACATCTATCCATTGCATGTAAAGATGTACGGAGTGCATATGTAGGTCTTACTACATTGAGCTAATCATACGTTGCAGAGTACAAAATTGCAAGTCAAATAGTGTCTGTCACAACCAAAAAAACCTTTTCCGGACTCCACCGGCGGAATATTCCCTGAGTAATAGGATTTCGTATTAAACGTACGGTAATACCGTTTCAATGGCCGGACACATTCCGGATCCCGGCATTGTCCCCCGCACAACCAATCATTCAGATTGTAAAAAATAAATTACTGTCCTGCGTCTCCCGTGATCTTTACACATGCGTTTACCTGCCCAATACGGCTTATCTGAGATCACCACTTTCTCTCTCCGTTATCTCTATCTTAATTGAATTCGACGTCTCTTCTCTATTTCTTCCTATTCTCCTCCTTTCTGCTCTTTTGACATATCCTTCTAACTGCTATTCATCTTCCTCTCGAATCTCCGACCTAATCGCCTTTCTCTCCTTATCTGCTCGCGTGTGTGCCTGCATGCCCTTGTCCCACGGTCCTATCCGCTTCCCTTGCATCTCTTTGGGCCAATACATACACCCTCGGATTGGCTGCTGGTCCTCTCTCATCTGAATTCCTGGGAGCTTCTTACTTCCCACAGTTTTGTCCTTCATCCATGTATCTCGCTCAGACACTCGACCAGAGCGCTTCATCCGGTTAAGATCTCGACAGCAACTGTGGTCGTGTGGTGAAACAGCAGTCAACATGATGGTCCCAAGAGCATTTTTATTCAGCTCGGCGCCGCCGCAGCAACCATTTCAGTCTGGGATGAAGTCATTCACCTCGCTGGATTGTTCTGGCCTCCATCTCCCTACTCCCATTGAGACCCGCGGATCGATCAACACTATCCCAGTCGTAATCCCTCCAAAGCGCGACTCGCAGACCCTGTCAGCACGTCGAGATACTCGTCCACGCACTCTATCTAAAACCTCGGAATCCTCTCGCCGGTTCTCTTCCAGCTCGTCCAATGACCGTCCCGTCCCTACGTCATTCACCTCAATGTTAGAAGCAACGGCCATTCCCGTCCCTCGACGAACCTGGACCACCCGTAGACCTCGGAAACTCCCTCGTGGAAATCATGAAGAAGAGTTTAGGCGCATGCTGCAGGAAGATATCAAGTTGAAAGAGGAAAATTTTCTGGACGGGGCCGCCTACTCCCCTCTTGACATCCTTCTCAGCCCACCCGATAACGACAACGAGAAACTCCTGCCTTGCAATGATTCCGAATACGATTCACAACTTTCAGTGAGATCAACATCAAGTGATTCGATGCCGTCATTAGACCATTGTCTGGGATCGCCGTCCAGTCTTCCCTCGCTGCCAAGCCCTTCTAGTCATAGAAGTGCACCCGAGAGACGACAGCCTCGGTACTCAAACTGCGAGGAGTGTGCTCTGGACCATCCTCTGCTTGTAACCGAACTTGATGAGTTTGAATTTATCGAAATCAAGAACGACGATGAGCCTGCTGCACCTGACATAGTACCCGCAAAGCGAGCTGCATCATTTGGGCGCCTCGGATCTACTTTTAAATCGAACCTCACAGCATCTTTACGGGCCATCAAATCAGCTGCGCAGTCAGTCTCGACTTTTGCCACCCCTTCCGTTCAACCAGAGGATTTCCTCACCCGGTCTCTTTTCACCATCACCCCAGAGATGACCGATGATCGCCGACCTTTGCCGATGCAAGAAACACCTTCTCCAGCACTGCGACGCTACTTGAATCCATCTCTGATGAACCCAACCCTGATGTCACCGGCAGAGATGTATGTCTACCATGATCATCCCCACGACAAGCCGCAGGCCTCCGATTTGTGTCCCGTCTCGATCCAAATGCAGACATATCGTCGAGCCGGTGGCCGTGGGAACCGGCGAAGCCATTTCCACATCGCAAGCAAGGACCATAAATACGTCACTTTCGACCCGGAAGCACCATCCATGTCACGCCAGCGCGAAATTCGTGAGAACAGCAATTTCTTGCGCGTGGTGGTTCTCGAGATGAACATGCGACGTAGCGGCAAACTACGCGATGATATCCCTGCCCGTGCGCGCATCTGGCTGCCAGCGCGCAAGACAAACTTCCACTTGTCAGGACAATACGAAGACGGAGATGACAACGTCGTTCCGGCCCGATGGGTGGGCGTCTCAGCCCACTGATGTTAAGGTTTTGATAGAAACCCCATCTTAGCGCAGAGCGCAAGCTATGGGTTGATAAATCTCTCTTTTTGGTCACTTCACTTCATTACAAGCATCTTTGTTTTCTTTTTCCTTAATCTTTGGATTTCCTTTGCAAGCGCGGCGTTGGATAAGGATGGTCTTCCTCCTCGGCGCAGATATTTTCTGTCTTTTGTTACATACCCCCATTTCTAACTTGTCGGCACCTTGCTTTTTCTCTGGCTGCTTTTTCTTTTTTTCGGATCGATCGTTCGATCACTACCTGGGACATCTATTCAACTCAATCAAATCTTGAAACACGTCAAGCTCCTTTCGCTTTGTAACTCCAACTAGCTGGCATAGTATGCTACATACAATGTGAATTCTGTATCTCAAAGGACACTTTAGTCTCAAAATTGGTATCATTATGCACCTACAAAGTTCGATTGTTTCTCAAACACTACACCGTATTGGACTTAGCCTCGGGGGTTTTATAGTCTTGTAGGACTGTTTATGCGATTTCTGATGCGATTTCTTACATGTAAGGCTACGTGAATTCATGGGTCGTTGCTGTGTGGAGTGAGATTGCAATTAGGTCAAACACGAGGAACTGGAGAAGGGCGACGAGAATTGCCAGAAAATGTGCGGACATCTCAGTCAGACAGATTGACACCGCCGGAGAGCTCCATAAAGAACAAAATATGAGCGGCCTTGAAACCCCACCTTGTCTGATAAGAACTGCTTTGGGGTCTTTTTCTCTATCTCTTGCAGTCTGATCGGCCAAGGTGATCAATTGGCGTCTACGCTCCTGGGACCTTGGGACCATGCCGTCGTAAAAGTAGTACTTGATAGTGTTGATAGTAGACGTTCTATTTGATGGTTTTGGCTTGATCAAATCGAGTTGAAAATAACGAGGCGGGTTTGGGATATAGTATTCATCAAGAAGATTGAATGAACGATCAAAGTCGCTCTGGAAACTATCCCGCTTTTATAGTGGTGCTGAAGCCCATGCCTCATCCTATGGTCCTCATGTCGACAGCTAGGTTGAGCCTCCAATCCAACAATAGATCAATAATCGCTGCTGTGGCATTAATATCTAGCGAAGCGTCTAGCGACAGACATTAGTCGAACAAAATCGGGGGTAAACTCCAGTTGCTCTTTGGGCATTATCTTCCGGAAGAGGGTTATTCCGATGGGTCCTTGGCGAATGTCTTCTGGCAACTTCGAACGTGAACCTATGACCTACGCGCCGAGGAGCAGCTGAGACAGGCTTGTGCCCCAAACTTGTAACGGTTGTCTTGATAAGAGTGAAATTCAGCGTTAGAGCCAGCGATACCATGAGGGCTTTAATCTCACCCCCATTTCGGCCTTTCCAGACGCGTTTACTGCTTTCTCATCTTCATTCCACTTCCACCAAAGCCAGACAAACTCAGCATGACCAAAATCAAATTCGCGGCTTTTTCTGCACAGCTGTTATGATGTCTCACTCTCCCAAAGATGGCGATTCTTCGCATCACCTTTATGAGCCCATCGAAGGAGCGGAAAAACTGGAAAGCTATCGCGTGGGAGGTTATCACTCTATGACTATCGGTGATCATCTTCACAATCGCTATCAAGTGGTTCAAAAACTTGGTCACGGTACGTATTCGATGATCTGGCTAGCCCGAGATCAAAAGATGGCAAATATGTCGCTATCAAAGTGTGTACTGCGGATTCGAACCCACTTGAATTCAACGTCCTTTCGGAACTTTCTAACTCGCAACAAAGTTCAAGCAATAGCCTAGAAAAGACAATGATACCGTCGATACTAGATAGATTCGAGATCCAAGGACCGAATAGGATACACCCTTGTTATGTGACAATCCCGGCAAGGATGAGTCTCTCCGAGGCACAAGATGCTTCATATAACCGCGTTTTCCAATTGGAGGTTGCTCGGGCCTTAGCGGCACAGCTAGTCCTTGCGGTTGAGTACGTCCACTCACAGGGATTCATTCACGGAGACCTTCATACTGGAAATATCCTCCTCCAGTTACAATTGGACCTAAACCAACCTTCAGTGGAGGCATTGTACAAAAAGTATGGAGAACCGGAATTTGAAGCAATTCGGCATTTTGATAGGTAACCGCTCCCATCGAATATACCACCACGGGCTATTTTTCCAATCTGGCTTGGTGAGGCAAGTGATAAACTCAAACTCCTAGAAGCCAAAATCCTACTTGGCGATTTTGGTGAGGCCTTCTCCCCTAGCAAGGAACAGAGGTTTAAGTCCCACACTCCGCTTGTGAGCCGACCACCAGAGGCTCGCTTCGAACCATCTAAGCCTCTGTCCTTCCCATCGGATATCTGGTCCCTCGGATGCTCCTCATGAAAGATAATAGGTCAGAACTCACTTTTTGACGGTATCTTTGCGACCGAAGATAGCATTACTTGCGAGCAAGTCGATACACTCGGTATGCTACCCCCGGACTGGTGGGACTAATGAGAGGGGCGACATAGCAGATTCACGGAAGATGGGAATCCGATCAATCGGGCCCCTTACCGGTCATGGAAGGATAGACTCGAACAAGATGTGCAGGAGCCTCGACAGAGGAAAGGGATGCCGCGCATTGAAGCGGCCGAGAGGGATGCTATCTTCAAGATGCTGAAGTCAATGCTAACATTCAGGTCTGAGAATCGCTCTTCTGCGAAGCAGATCCTCGAATGTGAATGGATGGTCAATTGGGCTTTGCCTGAGTACGAGAAGATTCGAAGGATATGACACAACAAAGCTCTTGCGTTGCACGGATCGTCCGGGTACTGGTTCTCTGAATAATCTAGGTACTGCCTCATAGTACTACTATCCTGAGTCTCCTCTCAACCACCCAATTCGTCATCATATTACTGGTTAGTCTAAATCGCTTTCAGGTTTATCTGTCGAAATTACCTCGAGATGTGGATCCTTATTCGCACGGAGTTGTGAGCGCTGTGAGAATTTTTCCCAGACTCCTGCGATAATCTCCTGCCCGCCAGAAGCACGTCAACGGCGAATAGATATACTCCCTTGGCTGCTAGTGATAGAAGTGCTGGAAATCAACGATTCTCTACGTTGAGGTCGATCTCACCATGGCTTAGCAGAGCCCGGACCATCTCCGAGTTTTCATCCTGTGCGGCTGTGCATAGCACCGTGTCATGAGCAATTATCATGCTCAGTTTAAACTACAGGCGCCCACCCTGAGGGACTAAGAGACGCACCGCCGCCAAGTGGTTCCATTCCACCGCCGATCAAATCGGCAGATCTCCCAACCCGCTCACATTGATGCCAACTCTGCCGTGTTTAGCACCACCGCTATCTCATCGATGCGTACGTGCGCGTAAGGTACGGTAAAGGGCGGCTGGCCTCCAGTCCGGCCTTTTAGGTAAACTCCTGGCTCTGCGAGATGACGCTGCAGAAGCACCGTGTTTGCTCTCGCCACGGTATGATGCAGAGAAGTCGAAGGTATTTGGGACTCGCCGTTTCCACCAATGAAATTGATGTCAACGCCTCTCTCCGCTAGCAGCCTCTCGGTGACCGCGTCGCATGACCGGTTTGTAGATAACCAGAGAAGCGGATATCTCTTGTCTTTGCATTTCATCACTTCCCGGCTTCGGCTCCGAACCGCTAGATGGAGTGGCGTATTGACATCCTGATTGTGGGATAAACGGTCGACGCGTTTTTGCCCCCAAAGCAGCCGCACAGCATCTGCTGAACCGTAGAAGACAGCTTGATAGAGGAGTAGCTTATCATGGTCCTCTGATATTCGAAATAACTTTTTCAGTGGCTCAAGTATCACGGTAACGTGGTACCATCGAATGCGGAAGCTTTATACTAGGGTGCAATGAAAGTCCTAGTGCTACAGATAACCGCGAAGTCTTCAAATGTCTTTTTCGTAGACTTCTCCAGGTTATATATGAAATCAATTAGGGTATAACGTTGACGAGATTCCAAGGCATGTAAATCATGAAGAGTGAACTTGGTTTCTCACCAAACTAACACAATGCCGTTGTTAAACAGCTACAATTCCCACCTTAACTTCTAAAAATCCACCCCCCCTTACATGCCTTTTTGATATTTACGTACTTGGCGAATCCCTATTGCAACTGGCAAGTTTTTCTCACGTCTTTGGAACTTCAGTCCCTTTTGAGTATCACAACTCTTTTCATCCCATCGCATGAGTAGCATGCATTGGGCTCATCCTAGTTTATCTACAAATTTTAATTGGAGTGGTGAGGAACCAATCCTTAATGCATTCAATTTCTGACTCATCGTACCAAGCCACAGTTAAGTTATAAGTGGACGAGGCATAGATAGATCGCTAGATCTAGACTGCCCATTGACGCCGAACGTTTGTAAATTTGAAAAGTTTTTTGGGATGGTCCGCTTGGCCGGCTACATAGGTATCTGTGCCAGGGGCGATGTAGATAGTTCGGAGTATATCGTGGGTTACCCATCGGACGAGGGGTTTAGAAGTGTATCCAAGTAGGTGAATACACATTGCCGATTGTTCTGTGTAAGGACGATACAGGCCCTACGATACTCCGTAGAAACTTCCAATGTAGACCAGTGTATATCTTGGTAGTTGGGCTCAAGAGAGAATGGTCAATTATACCAGTGACACCAGTTTCAAGACGTACTGTAGGCGTTGTGGTCAAAGTACCTGTTCTTAACCGGCCTAGACCTTGCCTACTATTTATAATCATTATTCGCTCTTCCGACTAGAAGACAAAAAACAGATCCAAAAAAATGCTCGTAGAGCGCATCTAAGAACGTTACGATGGAGGCCTATCCGGTGGCTATGCTTTCTCCGTACTCTTAGGAAAGATCAGAATGCCTTTGAACGTTCTGAATCGTCACGCATCCCACGTGGGTATGACATGAGATCACCCGCGTGGCCTGATGAGTCTTGGTCGACTCGTATTGGGCTCTTTGACCATGATAATAGCCACAGGGTTCAAATGATACGGAGTGTCTAGTCAGAAAAGATTTGTGGATTTAAGGGGGTAGATTGTTTCGGCTATGCCGGTCTTTCTCCAGTCTATTATAGCCTCGCTGGCTCGCTCAAGAAAGGTCAGATGATCGTAGAATGTGTTGATTTTGACTCGCTCATTTGGCATAGGCATGGACATGTCCATCGAACAAGTAAATTAGAAAATAAAAGAATTGCATAATTCATCACGCGATTTGAAGCTCTTGTTCATCGCGGAACCGGGAATCCTGCCACCATCGTGCGTGTTAGAACGACCAAAACGGCCAACAATACGGCAAACATGTGAAGAACTTACTCTCTTCATCCAGCAATGTGCGATTTTTCCAGCATTCGTCCACCCAGCTCGCACTAACAAGATGCGGCATTTTCGCACCTGGCTTCTCGGCCAGAGACTTTCGGAGAGATGATATGTCCGCTGACGACAAAGTCTCCGGGTCGACTATCACATGTGTGGTGCCCGAGCTCTTCAAGGAGCTGGCGCTCTCGGCACCTGCAAACCGGGCTGTGTTGCGAGCCAAGTAGAGTGGTTGGCTCTTCTTCCACAGTTCTTGGGAGGCTGATTCGTCCTGCCGATCCCCGTTCGAGTGGAAGTAAAACTTCAAGCCTCGGAAGAGCCACCCGCAGGGCACTGTGTAACCAGCATTTATTTTTTCCTGGATGCGAGCCTCGACTCTCTGAATGGTTTCTGGGTCCAAGGCATGGTCGGGCTGCTCTTGGTTTTGTTCCATTTGCTTGAATACCTGTTATATCGAATACCTGTTAGCCAAAGCCATGGTGATTTCTCGTTATTTTGCTAGGGTAGTCATACTTCCTTGAGCTCCTCAACAGTTGTATCGCGAGCGTAGCTGTCCATAAATTGGTCGACATTTGCTACGACTTCTTCCTCTTCGTCCTCTCTCATGAAAAACATGTGTCTGTAGAAATCGATGAATATCAGCCCCATGCATGTGTATCTCTTTTAGCTGTCAAAGAATACCGTGGTTCGAACGGAAGAAGAAGATCTGGCAGGCCTATATCTATCTCATTCTGCTTGATGCAGTCGATAAGCCAAGATGGTCGAATGATGTTTTGCTCTCCACTCCTTTGTAATGAGGCTACTTTGACCGTTCCTGCCGAAACGTTAGCTTAGGGTCATTTTTTTTCATGAAGAATGAAGCTCACTCCGATCAGCAACACAGAGGGTGTCTACCGCAGCTGTCTTGGTTTGATATATCTTACCACCATTAGCCTTCACGAGTTGTTCCAGTTGAAGTTTTGTTTTCTTTTCTGGGCTGGTCGACTCGGTCATTACAACTATTAGGCCAAAATATCAGTATTTTACATGATAGCAAGGGAACACGATCAAACCGCCTACAGAAGTTAAGCTCATCGAAGATATGCCCAGAAGGTTCAAGATACTGGACATCGATATTATCGTCGTACCCGGCAACGGTGAGCGGTTTCTTAGTGGCCCTCTTCACTCGTTTCTTCCGAGAGTTATCAACAGAGAACTCCTTCTCCCGATGCTCTTGCTCTGCGTTAGACTTTAGATCAAGAAACTCCTGAACCGAGAGCGCGCTTTTCCAGTCCTTGTCCTTGCGCAATTTCTTAAAGCGAGGGAAGCGCAACGTCAATCCCATGCGAAATTGATCACTGATTGCGACAGATGCAGCTTTTGCACACAAGACAATCGAGTCGGATGGTTTGATCCACATATCTGGACGTTCATGCTGGGCGTCTCCGCCCGCCAGTTCGATAAAGTTAGTCGGAGGCTTTTTCGCATCCCACACCTTCCACTTGCCCTCTGTATGATGGCGGACCTCCTGGTAGTCAGCTGCTGTGAACCCGCCACCAACCCGACAAAAGGACCAGCATTTTTCTGCTGCTTGTGTGCTGTCGTCGACTCGTAGTCCACAAAGAAAACTGGACAGCGCACCTCCTCGATGACCTGAACCATAGTATCCGCCAATCACAACAACGTCAAGGGACTCTCCAAATTCGGTCATATAGTCTGGTTTTACTTTCATCCAGTCATCATGGCGTTCGTTCAGTCGATATGGAGAGCGCGGGTTCTTCAATACAAGACCCTCTGACGCCTCAGCGACAACCTTCCGCAAAGCCTTTTCAACTTCTGTGGTGGTAGTAGCTTCCTCATAAGAGTGAATTTCAAACCGGCGATATACAGGTCGGATAGTCTTCTCCAGGGCATTACGACGATCACGAAGGGCATACTTTGTTAGGTCGCGCCCATTGAGATGTAATATATCAAAAACACGGAACAAGGGTCGTGGAGCATTTGAGAACGGATTGCGTTGTTCCGCCAGGGCCGCGGTTTTGAGCGTGCCAAAGGGAACCATGGCGTCCTGTTCAGGATCCCAGGTAATCATTTCGCCGTCGAGAATAATGCTCTGTACTCCATCCACGAAAGCATCTTTTAGATGCCTTGTCAGAGCACCGTTCTCATCGTAAATTCCGTTCCCGTATAGATAGGTATATTCCTTCGCTTTGCGCGACCAGAAGCCAAATTTTCGACCGCCTTGGATCGAATCGTCAGGCGCCATATGGAGTTGCATACGCTCACCATCCATTTTCTCCTCAATCCAAAAGACGTGGTCGTCTTCTGTTGGTTTCATACGAGCAATGATTTTCTCAAATGAATGCATCTGAAATTGGGCCAGCTGCGGCTGGAAGCATTGCATCAACGCGATGCCACGCTCCTCTCCCTCAAGCCGGATATTGGGATCATGCAGCTCCCAGCAAACACGCCGCAGACTGCTAGATATGCTGTACAGATTCTCGGCATCGGGATGCCAGACATCGAAGAGTGTTCGCTCGGTAGCACCAACCTTCATCTGCCGAAGTATTATGCGGACGAGCCACAGAAGTTCTTCGGGGTTCATCCTCCGGTAGAATTCCGTCAAGATTGGCAGTTGTTCATCCTCCTTTGATGCAGCCGATAGCTTATCCAGCTTCTCATTAACCTCGTCGATCGTCATGTCACCCGGCTCGGTCCGCATGGGCCGCTTCGAGAGAACATCGAAGCATCTTCCCGCAAAGTCACCCGCCATGCGTGTTGTAGCACCCTGGCCAGGAAGCTTCCAATTCAGAAGATTGTATCCATCTTCTGATTCTTTGTTGATCTTCATGATCTTGACGAGCATCTTCCCGATAGCCTTCTCCTTGATCCCGTACATTGGTCGATCGCGATCTTTGTCGGGAAGAATCAGTCGAAGAGCAGGGTAAATGTCGTTGCCGACATCCTTGCGCCACCGTGAAATGAAGCGCTCAATCACATCGCGCCGGCGCTCGAACGGGTTGAGACTCGCAGCACCTTTGCCATTGGGACCAACTTTTCGGCGAGCTGGAGCAGGCCCTGATAGCTTCTTCTTGAGTTCACTAAGTGGATTTAATAGGTTAAGGTACAGTTCGTGAAATGGCAATGTCGGGGCCCGGTTGTGAGGTCTATTGGGGTATCTGTCAACTGCTCTTAGTGATCTACTCAAAATCTCAGTATCATGAATTAGTTAGGGGCTCACTTTGCTTTTATGTCTTCTTCTTTCTCTTGCCCCAGGAGCTCCTGACTTAGGATCTCGTCGGAATCCATGTTAGCCGGAGAAGTCAAGAGGTGGAAGTTGAAAGTTGCGTAGCTATGTTGTATGTATTCCAGATGGTTTCAGGCTGCACTGCTGATAAGATAAGCGATGGCTCCACCTGGGAAGATTCGGAAAATCTTCGGCAGAATGTTTAGAGCCTGTGGTAGGACAAGACAACAATCTCTCGACGTGCTGTAGGAACAATTGAAGAATGTAAAGAAGACGAATATGGGGGTTCCCTGCTTTTGTAGAAATGACATAACTACCACTCTCATGATCACAACCTGTTCTCAAATGCCTAGCGCCAAACTCATACCCACATCCACCCTGTCCGTCAAGATTTGTTCGATTTCATGATGCCCGTTATGAACCAGATCGGGCGGCGTAATGTACTGGAGTGCCAAGCCCGCTTCTTTCATTCATAGAATATTCTGGGGTTCCCTCGTCAATCATTCTGTTGACACATTGCTTGTTATAGTCGGAATCTTGATCGTAAATGAGCTCTAGCACTGCGTGGCTGTCATTTTTGGTTCGCATCACAGCATAATGCAAAAGCTGCCCATCTTGGACTTGACCTCCACTTTCAAAAAGGATCTTGATGGCGTTAAAAGGACCATCCCGGACTGCATAGGATAATGACGTGCAGTTTCGAATACGGCACCTCTTCTTTGGGTCCGCGCCATGGTTTAGGAACCACTTGAGAAGTCCCACATCTTCAAAGGTGTACCTAGTACAAAACCGGCAGCTTCCCTATCGGGTACACTATGGATTTGACCCTTACACTGACGCCGATGGTACCGTGTCACTCATATCAGCATTAATTTCCCAGCTCCGTGACAAGAACAGCTCTAGAATGCCGTTGTGCTTGTTCATAGTAGCAGTGCGAAAATGATGGCTCTCCATTGTAAGAACATTGTTCAGAAACTCAATGGTTGCTTCAGTGTCGCCGTTCTCGACAGCAAGCCTGAGGTTCTTGCACGGACTCACCATGTTCTCATGCTAGGACTTGGAAGATGATAGATAGGAAATCTGGCGGTTTAATTGTAAGCAGTAACGTGTGAGCTGCACAGTGCCTAGAGATGTGTGCCGCGGGATACTTGATGTTACGATGCTCTGGTGCTATATTCACACTAGTCACGCACAGTCATCCTCCTGCTAGTTAATACTAAGCATTGTCCCCTGTATGTTCCCATCAAGTCCACCAAAAACTATGTACTCGAACTTTGCATGAAACGATAATGGCATCCCGTTTCTTGCAGGCGTTAACGGAAAAGGAGGCGGTTGATGTGAAGATGAACGGAGTTATACCTATCTCCTTTATCGGACCTAGCTTTAAAGCTATTAGAACCCAGAATTTAAATAGCTACATAGTAATCATAATGGCTTCTACCACGGGTGCTATTCTTACATATCTTATACCACGACTTTTCTTCATAAGTGTCACGAGAATTTTCAATCACCAAAACTAAGCACTCGATCTTAGTCTACGCTAGGTTTAACGGATAAGTCGCAATGCCAGATCAACGTAATTTAATCCATAGTGTCTTCTTAGAGAATCTAGATAACAACTAACTTCAAAGAAAGCACTCCTACACTACTGAATTGGTGGCTATACTTGCCCGGAAAAGGGTATTATCTTTATTGATAGTCGAATTAGACTGCCAAAGCTCTACGTTGAAGATGTCGAAACGCAGTAGCTCGGACCCTAACCAAGTAAGTAGATTATCTTATGCCGTAGGTATTTCTCGAGCTTTTGTACTACTTTATGCAGCGGGCCTACCTTAACCCGTCTCTTCTTATGATTCTTCCACACCAGGTACTGGCTGAAAAGTGTGTATCAGATGACCCTTAGTATGCCTAGCCATTCTAATTTGTCTTGAGTAATAGCATGGGCAAATCTTCAAAATGGAGAGAGAGACAGAAGTTGATGTTCGTGTCGTGAATCTTAGTATGTATCAAAAATACATGCTTGAACTTTCACATTTGCCCCAAATAAATCCGTCAATTGAGGTTCTTGTTAGTACTCAAACACCGAGATTATAGAGTGATGTACTCATTTCTCAATGGTAATCTTATCCTGAGGATAGAAAGTGCAGGGGTCTGTCTCTTCTTTCCTTCACTTCGCCACTTGACGCAACAAGCCAAAATTCCACATCTTGCTCAAGTCTGCATCTTTGTTCGGAGAATGTGGCTTTCACAACAACAACTGTTGGTCACTTGCCACTTGTCACTCGGAAAATTCGTTAGGCACCTGGTATGTTCTTTATTGTTCTCCCTCTGACTTCCATGAAGGTGAAAACCGAAGTTGCAAGTCCAGGAGCTACGGTTGTGAGGGTGTGGTAGGAGTTCACGAAGCACTCGAAGAAGGAACCTTCCAAGGTTGGAAGGCATGCCATGCCCATCGTGGAAATGACCACGATATGATATATTTTATGGCTAACTATGTAACCGACACATTCATGGAATCCAGAGGACATCAAAGATAATAGATTGAAAGGCGGAAACCATTTTTGTAGACCCAAGGTCCAATTTATATGGAGAATAGACGAAAAGACCAGCACAAACACTAGTGTACAGAAGAAGAAACATGTGTAATTGCCGTAGATCTCGCTAACAGTCAGACATGCTCAGCATCATGCCGGCGATTCTGTTCCCAAGAAGAATGATACGAGCTCAAATCCGCAAGCCGCGTCAATATAGCCAAGAACTTCTTCGAAACACTCCACGCAGTCATGCCGGAAAGCACCTCACATCCAACCCGCAGGACCCTTTCCGGGCCCTCAAGATCACATATATCACCAACACCAGTAACATTCCCTCTCATGGCATGACCCTCCCTCACAAAACGCTGCACAAGCTCATCATCACTCGGCCGGTCAAGACAAATATGACTCGGGTCGTGAAGCGGCTCTGCACGCGGACTGGACTCATGGGATGTATGCGGGTGACATGATCCGTACGCCCACAGCGTCAGCACAGCGACGAACGCCGCAACAGGCTCGTGGAAAGCGTTTTTTGAGTAGCGACGGATATGCCAAAGAGTGACGCCGGCGTGAATGATCGAAAGCCGAGCTTTATATTGGTCGTGCTTCATCCAGCGCCAGATATATTGCCACTCGAGGGACTGGTGTCGTTTGCTCCAGCGTTGCTTTTCTGTTGCTAGGGAAATTGCAAGAGAGCGCATTTCACGGAATGGAGCGAGGAGGTATAGCCGGGCGGTGTGGAGGTGGAGGATGGTTGGGTGCTCGAGGCCTGCGGCTTTGGCTACGGTGCTGTTGGCGGTCCAGTGGAGGATGTCCAAGCAGTCGCATGCGCTGTTGCGCCATTTGGAGTACGAGGGGATTCCCGGGAGCCAGACTGAGCCTGGGGGGATGGCGGTGTCGCATAGCTGCTTCTTTGCTGTCGGGTTCCAGAAGGATAGTGGGCGGCGGAAGTAGTCTCCGACTTCCCACATTCGGTGGTAGAGAGCGTGGATGAGGAGAATGTGACTGAATTCTCCTATCCCGGACACTACCCTCTTCTCGATGTAGAGGATGTGAACTGCGTCGTATAACGACTCGTTGGCTATAGAAGTTAGACTTTGGTCTGTTTAGGGATCTGAGTAAGAGATACCAAATGACTTCGCCCACAGTGGCTTCCATGTCTCTGCGGAGGATGCTTGCCATAGCTTCTCATGCGCGGGCAATGCAGCTTGTCCGTCATCTAAAGAGAGCAAAGGTCGATCATCAAAATAATATGCAAGAGTGCAATCCACAAGCTATCATCGTCAATGAAAGTAAAGACTCCATGGTTGGACCAAGCTTACCCATATGCAATAGCCGGTGCGTCTTCTGACCTCATCTTGAATCCAAGACACCCAGGCTGCATCCTGTGACGCCTCGTTGAATTTTGTTCGCATCGGTGTCAATAACTGGGAAGTTTTCATGAGCGACACCAAGTCACCAAAAGTGCTCAACGCCGAGGCCTTTTCTCGCTCGCTCCTACTATGGAGAAGTCCAATGCAACTGAACAACATAGCTTGTAAAATCTCAATAGAAGCCTGACCAGGGCGACTCTTTTCTTTCTGGGAGGAGAGGACAATTAGCTGAAAAGCAGTGAATTGGGGTTAGAGGACCTTTCTCACCTCAAGAAAGATGCCCCGCCGAATCAACTCGTGGAAAGCAGTCGTGCACTGATCCATCTCGGAGATGTGAGAGACATGGCAGCCAAGTACTATAATCGACAAAGTCAAGAGCCAATGGCTTGTATTCGGATCAAATGTACGAAGATGTAGTATCGGATAAACAGCCTGAAATGAATTGAAGAAAAATGTGATGAACTGGTTGCATTGGTCCGCGGTGGGAAATTTGTCCGATTCAAACACCTCAAAAAATGGTGTTTCAGTGCAGCATAGTTCAACAAAATGCTGGTAAATCTCATCAAAGGTGGATTTTTCAATCCGTTGTGCGAACCGGGCTATTTCTTCTGATATCTGATCGGTTCGTAGTTCGGAAATGCTAGGGAAGTTGAATCGATGTTCGCCATCTTGAATGAGCAGCTGTCTGCCAAAATCGATCTGCTCCATGGATTCGCTGGACCAAGGCGTGTGGTACCTTGAGAGTCTGGTTGGCGCACCATTGGCACAGTAGTCCACTGATCCCTTGACGGAATGCACTGATGCGGTATGAGGAGAAGGGTCGCTTATGCCGTGGGAAAATTGATTAGGACTTCCCACATTATCTCCCAGAGAAACAGGCACAGAGGGTGATTTTGAGACTCGCTCTAGTCGCAAAGAATTGGGGTTTCCAGCGCTGATAGCTGGCGGTTGCCATGCTGCCCGGGAGAAGTCGACACTTGTGCTGAGAGATTGGCTGTAATGCGAGGAACCACCGGTAGACTGCGCGTGGCCATTAGGAGGACCAGAAAGCAACTCGCCAGGGAACCAATTAATGGTAGAAAGCATGGATTGATCGAAGAATGTGGAATCAAACTCTAGCGGCACCTCCGGATTATTTTCCATGGTCATTTCAATGTTAGCTGCTGGATTGGTCATCCCCGGCTGTATATCCCTCATCTCAGAGTCTAAATTGTTGCATGAATCAATGTGGAACACTTTGGAGATGTCGGAGCTCGAAGTGTCATATGTCTGGTCGCCACCTCCAGGGAAAACACCTAGTGGCAGTGTTTCAGACGGCCCTTGGATCTCATTTTGGAGATAGAAACGAGGATTCGAGGCGTCTGAAATGGAGTGTGTATTTCGCGGTATTTGTTTTGTGTGATCACTGCCGGGGGTGGATGATACATCATTGAGCGAAGCTTTGGGTAAGCTCGACTTATTTTGCAGGTGTATAGAAAACTGGCTTTGACTAGAAGTTGCGTTCAAATCTCGGCGCATGGGTCTGAGGTTATCATTCTGCGCATCGGCTTCTTGCACGGAATCTCTCCTGTCTTTTGTTTTGGACCGCCTTTGTGTGGGGTACTGACATTCGAGTGAGCGAGTATCGCACCGTCCACATGGCGCGCCGCCGCTACATCTTACTCTGGCAGTTGCGCAACTAAAGCATGCTCGAAAGGTTTTGACAGTAATTCGGTGGGTGCGGTCTTTCCCCCCTGTCCCTGGTGCATGGTGACTCAGCTCATGTCGATGAAGGGTGTCGCTGGTGGTTGATTAGCGTGTAATTCGACGCAAGCATAGCTATAACCCACGCGCGCATACGTTCTTGAAAAATGCCGGCCGCACTGGGCACACTCGAACGGCTTCTCCTTAGTGTGACTCCGCAGGTGTCGCTTCAAATGCTCCGGTCGCCGGAAGGTACTGCTACACACTGAGCATTGGATGTGACTGGCAATAAATTCGTCTGCATTCTGATCTGTATCTCGAACTTCGGACCTTCCAGGTGTTCCAATCTCGGGATCCTCGGGATTGTCTTTACCCGACATGACTCCGATTGTGCTTCAGAGAAGCGGATGGCATTTCCACAAGCCACTCTGACATATAAATCACATTGCAGATGCAGATGCAGATGGGGAGGGGGGAAAGTAAAGCGGAGAACGGATGAATCAACGGCTCGGTTAATTAAAGTCTGGGGTAAATAGTGCGGAGATGATCGAGTACCGTCACGTTGTTAGACATGTATAAAATAAGGTGGCCATAAAGATTTAGGATCTGAATTTGATTTCAAACTGATACGTGATTCTATGTGTGTACTCTATAAGGGGTACACACCATAGTCGCGTAGAAGAAGCGTGTACGGTCGCGTGCACGGCCATTTCCCGTCGAGATTTCCCCCTAAACATCTCAAAAAATCAAATCGCAGGACCATCCCGATCATCTTGATATCGTCCTTGTTTCAAATCTCATAACTCGCATACTTACCAATTTTTGTGGGGAATCGATTCCATGAATGGCGAGGCCGCTTCCGCGAACCAGCGGTTGGGTGTGGCCCGGAATGACGCTCTACAAGGCGCCACGCTTGCATTCCAACACTCCAGGGATTCCTCACCCAATGTGAAGGCTAGATCTTCTGCTACTGCTGTAATGGCAAGCGATTATCGCCCTCTGGCTCATCAGAGGACTGGATCCGACGCCCCCGAAGTGGGCTCTGTAAAGGATAAGATCGGGAGATTGGCCAGACCACTGTCACCTCCAGCCAGTACATTTTCAAGTGTGAGGGGACGAAGTTCAGCCACCGCTCTCTCCTCGGCCTCCCAAATTGCCGCACGGCTCGCTGCATCAAGGTCCCCTGCACGGGACACCAGTGCTCCGCCGACAACTGCCAGACTTGGCGCAGGTGCAGTACGAAGCGCGAGCCAGGTTCCACCCTCACTAGAAAAGCGACAGCTGCCAGCACCGACACCTCTTCGCTCGATACAGGGGAGCCATAATCCCTTAGATCGCATGCTGCACGAAAATGGCTTAAAATCTGACTCGCATCTGCCTATCTACGGGCGCTCCTCACCCCAGCAATCTAGGACAACTCTAGAAGATCAGGATAGTCGAGAACCAAGCCCCGGCCCCTCCATAGAGTCTCGCGGTTCTTCTTTACCGGCAGATGAGCCGAAACCCAAGCTTCCACCGCGTGTGCCTCCATCACGAGGGTCTATGAGAAACCATGGAGTTGTTGCAGTACGCCGACCCTCGACACCGAGCGAGGTATCTGTATCAAGCCAGTCACATACGACAAGCACCTCCAGCATAATAGACGACTCCATTGGCATGAGTGAGGAATCCCTTTCCAATGCAATTATTGCCTCCTCCCTGGCATCAGCACGAGCGTCCCCATCTATCAGAGCTCCCCCGCCACTTCCTCCGCAGCGACGAGGGGCACGATCCATTCTACATTTGGCACACCAATCCCAGAGTCATCTACCAAGGACGCCAAGTCCACCGAAGAGCATGCCGATGACCCTACGCGGCAGGCCGAAACCCACCGATGCCGACCACCGAAAACACAGAAACCCCCTGCACAAACACCCCCACAAACACAAGGAGGGCGACCGTAAGCGTTGGCGACGTGAGGTTACCGAGAAGGAACGCAAACGTTACGAAGGCGTCTGGGCCTCTAATAAAGGGCTTCTCATCCCTCCCGATCCCAGTGGAACCGGGCCATGGCCACCTAATGCCTCGGATATGGTTTTCAACCTGGTAGTCCGGGAAATTTGGTCCCGCAGTCGCCTACCGGAGATGATTTTGGAGCAAGTGTGGGATTTAGTCGATCACCAAAACATTGGACTTTTGGTGCGTGAGGAATTTGTGGTCGGAATGTGGTTGATCGACCAGTTCTTGAAAGGACACAAGCTCCCTGTGCAAGTTCGGGATAGTGTCTGGGATAGCGTGCGGTATGCTGCGGGTATTAAGCTCCCCCTTGGGAAAGGCAAGGCCCACGCTTAAGTTCAATGACGAATCAGATTCTGCACCTGTGGATAGTCAATTGACATCGATCGCCAATGCCTACACCAGTCCAGCAAGCCCACCTCCACAGTGGATCTCCTAGCGTTCAGATTTCTGCCCGTATTTTCTGCATATTGTTACACCTCCATACACATCATAATAATGCTCGGATCTATGAAATGATCCTTCTTGGACTCCTTCGTCCCAACCCCAGATCTTGTATTTGACTATGTACTCTGAATTCCTGATCACCTTGGATTGATCCTATGTTTAAAATCGGAACATTCATAGTGGCATCCTGGAATATGCTCAGCTGTGGAGAAATGGATCAGGGATACCTTACAAGTCGAATACACAACCAACTGATTACATAGCAAGAAGTAACATGATTATCAAAATTGACCGCTGGCAACTTGGGTGGGCTAATCCCACCCACAACAGAGACTCTAGCAAATGTATTCCAACCCTCCATCATCATGTGCATCGAGTATATTGTGCTATATTATACTGAGCAATTTTTCAGGATCGATTTGAGATATCTCCAGAGTCCGAATTATTTCCGAGCCTGTTTGGATGGATGGAAGCCATGCTGAATCAGCCTGGAGAATAAAAATAGGCTCAGAGGCTCCATCATTCGCGCTTCTATAGCGCGTGGATCAACGTGATAAATTGTTTTAGGCCAGTAAAATTACAGGTCTTTCCTCCCTCCAATGTCACTTGATACGAGTATCTGTCGTATCGGTACGTTCACCGAACTTTGAAATCCTTTAAAACATCAGAATTTCCGTTTCTTTTTTTTTTTCTCTGTCTCTCTTCCCGTTGTGTCGAGGAAGAAGAAGGAAAACATCTCCCGATCAATTCAAAAATTATCCGTTTGGAATATTCTACATATACCCAACATTTTTGGCACCATCCAATTTGGGGTTGGACTTGATCGCCTCTGTGCTGAATTACGAAAAAGCAGATCCCGAACCTCCCCACGGCTCGGGATTTGCGAAGATCAAGCAATTACACGGAAGTCTCTATATCAGCGCCCTTTCGGACTTGCGATTTTCATTAAGCCCGCAAAATGATCCATCTCAACTAGGATTCGGTTGCAAAGACACCCAGGAGGTGCATTTTCAAATCAATGGTTCTGTAGATTATTGGAGGTACCCCATATCTAGTATCACCATGGTCGACCCTTTTCACAATTATAACGGGCTGGCCTCGACGGCGCCTCGGTCGGTTCGCAAGAAGTTTGCTAAACCACCAGTTAAGGTAGCCTGTGTGCCTTGGTGAGCAAATCCCGTGAAAAAAAAGGGAGGAACTTCTCCACTAATATTATTCTAGTCGGGCTTCGAGAACACGATGTGGCGGCCAGATGCCATGCGCAAATGTGCGTTCTCTTTGTACTCTGTACTTCCAGTGCTTTTTGATCGTTTATATAGTGGATCGCGACTGTTCAATGTTCATTGCATAGACTGACTTTCACTTTAGTGCGTGAGCAAAGACAGGGAATGTTCTTATTTACCTAGCAAACGAGGCGGGCCACGCAAAAAGAAGAAGAAGTCCTCCTTATCACCAGAACAGGAATCGAGACATGACGATGCTCTGTATAATGCTATTCCCTCCCCCCCCGGAGTTTGAAGAAAGTATGTCGTCGGCCTCATACCCTCCCCCCCCCCCCCCAAAAGCGATATGCTTACTGAAATTTAGCACCGGGAATGTTCAACCAGATTGATGAACTCTCTCTGCCTGGCGCAGGTTTGAGACATCTAGATTTCCAATCTGAAATTCCCTCCATGTTCCAAAGCTTCTTCACTGGTGATGGTAGCCAGTCGCACATGCAGGTGCCTTTGATTACACCACCCCTGAATAACGCTCAACCTTTCGTAAGGACGTATGGAAGCGAGCCTGAGATGTAAGTATCTTTCTGCAAGTTGTGATACATGGCCTAACATCACTAGATTAAATGCCTACTACGACTTTATTCACAACTATTTCCCCATTCTTCCGCCACGGGCATCACCACCATGCCGAGATCGGCCGTTGAACTGCTCTGTCCCATGTTCGAGTACATCTGAACCAACGATGATGTACCGGCCCCGGTCACCTCTAAGTCTTGCACTATCTGCAGTCTTGGCGCTGATTCCGCATCCAAGTGATCTTGAGCCATCGTCCGCGGCGTCTGTTCTGCAGCGCAGAACGTATGCGCATACATTCGCCCAACTGGCCCATTCAACAATCGAAACGGAGTGTGATCTTGATGTGTCCTCCACTGATCCCGGACAGGCATTGTCTGCCGCACGTCCTTTTGTTGGTCGGGAAAGATTCCACTCGCAAACTCCGGTGGACTATGAGTGCCTCCTGGCTCTCTTGGTACTTTCAGTTTATGAATACTCCCAACGCGGCAACTTGCTCAAGATGCGATATCGTGCTGGCCAGGCTCTTGCGATTGCTTTGGACAAGTCACTTCATGCTCAAAACGGGAATGATGAATTTTCGGAGGCGCGACGGAGAGCCTGGTGGATGACGGTTTGTATCCCTCATCTTTCATGGATTCCTAAACTGATTATGGTTTAGTATTATTGTGTAATGCAAGGATCTATTGTTAGCACTACGGTGAGTAGTATAGCTCTTCAAACATGGTCTGGGGCTAATACGGAAACAGATGCCTGCCATTGTCATCAATGACCCGCAGTTCACGACTCCATATCCATCGTTTTCATCAGACACTGAGGTTGGTACTCCTTCAAGATCTCTTGATTATCCATCTTCTTACTGCTAACCGGTCTTCAGGGTTGGGCTATTTTTATACAAGCCCAACAAGTGCTTGTGTCAGCAACTCAGTTTATTGGGGATCTGAACAAATGCCTCTCGTCCCAATCAGGGATGTACTATATGTTCGAACGAATGCAGCAACTGGATGCCTGGACCCACTCCGTGATTGCACAAGCGGAGCTACTCCCCCTTCTACCCCAGGCATCCGATTTCGGCGATCACAACGAATCCATAACAGCACAAAGCATACGCGCAATATCCAGAATAAAGCTATCCAGGTTCGAGCTGATCGCCCGTTCATACCTATGTCAATCCAGCTAACAATGACCCCAGTGCACAAATCAAAACGCACCGCTTCCGAGCCTTTTCGGACATCCCCCTGTTCATCAAAAGGCATTGCGACCTGACAGCAGCAAACCAAAACAACGCCGCTACAACCGTCAGCACCAAACCCTCTGGCATCCACAACGTCACCTGCTCCTGCTCAAACCTAAGCAACTTTGAACGAGCAGCCTCGACAGAATACATGACTCCATCCGAATCCTCTACTTCATCGGACATCCACCCGGGAATCAGTTCGTACGCGCCCCAGTACTCACAATATCCCTTCGCACCCGGGTTCCCCTACAGCACACAGCAGTCCGCGAAGATCTGTCTTCATGCCTCACTCGTCATCTCCCGCATGTTCCACAGTCTGCCCGTCCCACAGCCTCTCTTAGATCCCCAACAGCAGCAGGGCCGCACGTTACCCCGGACCATGCCCTCTTTCGCATGCTGTCTGATGCAAAGTAGCTATGCCATGTTCATGATCTACTACAAGGCACGCGTGGCGAAGCAGCTTGCGCCTGACAGCCCGGGTAATGAGCAAGGCGGGGGGGATTCGACTGGCCAGCTCATTGAGGAACTACGGCAGGGTTTAGAGCGGATTATCGGAGCCGTGTCGAATTATTCGATTGCTTTTGAAGCTTTGGATGGGATGAGAGGTTGGTGTTTCTATCTTCGTCTGGTATGCGGTCTTCGCGCTAACGTTTTTGTTTAGATGAAATCGAGGGTGCATACAAAACGGCGTTCCAACTAGCATCTGCTTAACCAGAAGGGGGGTTTTTTTTGGCCATTCCGGTTTCTTTTTCCGACGCTTTCAAGGTTGCCATCTGCATTTAAATAACGATCCCCTCCTCTCTTGTTACGACTGGATTCTCCACTATTTTTATTCCCTGCTCAATCAGCAGAATCGCGGCGTTTTTGGGCATCTCAGACATAATACAAATATGATTCCCTTCGTTGGTAGACAGGTTTATTATATGTCTATGAAATACAACTGGTACCACAATGCAATTCCATTAGAGAAGTGCAAATTTCCACTTGATGTATAAGAAGGTCATAATTGGATTTAGATGCGACGGCAGCAAGTACTTGAAAGAGAACGTTTATTTGCATCTAGTAGACCGCTAATCCCCCCCCCCCCCCACCCCCCAAGCAAGAGACCTTCTAATTCCTGGCTAACAAACCTAGCTAGAGTTTTGACCGGATACCTTCTAGTCTAAACTTCACATCTTTCAGAACCTTGCTAGAAGGTTTCCAGTCGTCAAATTGCCTGAGCAATTCCATAGTCTCGTCGTGAAGTTCTCGGCGCACATATTCCTCTTCCAGCAGTCCGCGCATGGCGAAGGGAAGAATGTACGGATTTGGCGTAGCGGAGCTGCTAGCTCGTATGACGCTGAGCGCGGAGTCTGGCGCGGAAGAAGTCTCGAGTGCAAATTCTATGGCCATGCTGGAAGATACTGTCAGATTTGGACGCACGTAGGGATTCATGGCTGGAACCTACAAGTACACAGCTTCATCGTCGTACAGCCGAGAATGTCCCTCTCCTGAGTATAAACTTCCTGCTAATGGGGTACTTAGTTCGCGGATTAGACCGTGGTCCGGGATACCAAGGTTGCGAAGTTTGAGGGCGAAGCCAACTAGATGGGAAAGGCTGGGGTTTGGTATTAGCTTTGTTAATCGAGAAGGACTGGGTGATGGGGTTGCTTACAAGCTTGGGGCGTGGACTCGGCCATCCACGAAGACAGCGCGGTAGACATAAGGGTGGGTGATAGGCGAGAAGAGAGAGGACTAGGGGCAAGTGAGCAACTTCAGAGCTGGTAATATATCAAGAAATGTGCTCACCTCCAGTGAAACTAGTTGATCATCAATACTTCCGATGTAACAGATGCGAACACCAAAATTGAGAGCACATTTGAGAGCAGCTTCGTACTCTTTTGACACCTTGCTGAAAGGTAGTGCAAATTCGAACAGCTCTCCAGCCGATCCACTGATCCACCGAGAGCGATAATCCGGGAAGGGGCCTAGGTTCACACCCGCCATGGCGCAGATTCCGACCCGTTTGACGTCAAGACAGCCGAACTGTATCAACTTTGCAACTAGCATAATTGTTACCGGCACACCTTGACTGTGACATGCGAACAAGATGAAATCAGCCTTGCGGATCTCCTCCATCCAATTTAGAAGCAGCTTCCACAGGAGATCCACTCGCTCCGCAATTCGACCTTCTCCTTCCAATGCAATCTTTTCAATACTGCAAGAGTAGCCATATCCCTCTGTGTAGTTCCGGATAGCATCTGCTGCCATATTGGAGAACCGGATAGATGTCCCAGTGGGCTGTCCGAGTAAGTTTCGAATGAAAGGAGCGGGGAAATACCCATGAACACCGATAGCCAAAGCGCGTCTCACATGCAGAGGATCTCGGACCCTGCTGACATGCCTGACCTCTGGCCCTTTCCCATAATGCAGAAGTCGACCAAGGCTCTGCAAGATGGAGGGCGGTTGCTCAAACGTATAGGTTTCTTCGAACTTCGGCAGTACTTGGTTGGGGAGAGTTTGCTGCAAGTGTTTTGAAGTACTGGTATCGGCTGGTCGAGGTTCAACAGGCGGCATAGATGTAGAAGTGCTCTCAATGGTGGACACAGCAGATCCATCTTTGAGACAGTTGTCTTTTTGGGGCTTGATTTTGATAGTGCTTTTCTGTGTGATGTTGACATTTGAATCTGCATCTGATTCAAGTGCTGTACGCTTTGATGACAAGTTCTGTCCCATTGACGCCTCAATAGCTTCGCCTTCCTGGAGTTTATCAGAGGGCCCGACCTTTTTTGGATCTTTGGACCAGAATGACCAGCCCGATGATCTCGTGGTTCCAACTGGGGTCTGCGGTCCACCAGCTGGTTCTGCTGGCCCATGGTGGGGATCCTGCAGTGCCATGTTTGTGGAGGGAGTCTCGGTGGGATTGTGATTCGCGGAACGGGAGATTGTGGATTCTGTAGATGGTGGGTCTTCTTGCTTGCACAATGTATTTGTACCATACCACATCTGAAGCCACGATCGTTTTTGGGATGTGGGTATACCTTCAACGGTATCTATTATCTGCTCTGGCTCCAGTTCCAGTTCTTCTTCCCGTGATGCATAATCTATCACAGTAGGTTCAACACCCTGCTCTGCCATTTGGTTTTCGGCCACTTGATGGTCCACGGCGTGCGTAGATACTGGGACATTTGCAGCAACTTTGGATGTAGCTGATGATCCATATATCCATGAGAGCCAACCACTAGATTGCTGGGGGTCCTTTGTAGATCCCGCATGCGAGGTGCTGGGATCAGCTTCAGGGGTGGCTTCCCGTTCCTTGACTGGTTCCTCTAGCGACTTAACGCCACTCTCGTCAAGTAATTCTTTGTCAGGTTTTGCCGGTTCTATAGCCCTGGATTCTTCGGTATCGTCGGCAGCTGTAGTGGAAGCCGAACCATCCGATGCGATGTTGATTCGGGTGGTGGTAGCATCAGCGGGTAGAGACCTGGTCGAGGCGCCCGCCTTTCGCGTAAGATGAATGGAAGGGTATAGATTCTTTGTTGGGGTATTCAGAAGAGAAGCTGATGAGTTGGTGACGTTCGATGCTACAGTTTTGGCCGCTGAAATGCTCTCACGGGCAACCTCGGTAACTGGAGCTGCTTTAGACACTCTCGCAGTGGAAGACCAAGACCCGGGGTACCAGCTCTATTTGAACGACATTTGATCAGCAAAAAAGACAAAAAGAAGTAAAAAAACGACAAAAGAAATGTCTGTTCTGGTCACAAAGAGCTTACAGCATTGTACCCCTGTGACTGGGAACCTGAGCGGTCTCGGCCATCACCGCTCAGTCCAGCCGGTGAGTCCACACCAGAGGGGTTGGTCTTCACTCTCTTGCGAGATCCCTTGGGCGTCATGGAGGTAGGTTGAAAAACATCAGGTCTATAGTTAGACGGACGAACCCAAGTGATAAAGCATCTTCCAAGCGCCACAACCTTGGAAGTGACTGGGGTGCCTGAGTAATATCACGTCACATGGCTGACGCTGGCTTTTAGCCTCAGGCAACAAACTGGAGAATCAATTCAAAGGCGGTGAGCGATAAGTATTGCAACTTTTTTTTTTCTCGGATCTTCTTCCATAGAAAAAAGTATACAATTCTATTTCCCCGGTCATTTGAAAAGGATTTTCTGGTCTACTGAGACTGGCTTTCCTTCAAAATGGCGATCCAGAAAAAGGTATAATTAACTTTTCTCTCAGCTTGCATCACTCCACGTACTGACTATTTGCAGCATGGAAAAGGTCGTTTGGATAAGTGGTATCGACTTGCCAAAGAGAAGGGTTACAGAGCCCGTGCCGCGTTCAAGTTAATCCAATTGAACCAGAAATATGGATTTTTGGAGAAAAGCAGAGTTTGTATCGATCTTTGCGCTGCGCCTGGTGTAAGTATCCACAAATGGTACCCTCTATCCCAAGTCTTTTCTCTAACAACCGAGCAGTCCTGGTGTCAAGTCGCTGCAGAGTACATGCCCGCGCAGAGTCTTATCATTGGTGTCGATCTCTCCCCCATTAAACCAATTCCACGGGCCATTACTTTCCAGAGCGATATCACAACGGACAAGTGTCGCGCAACGATTCGATCCCACATCAAGCACTGGAAAGCAGATGTAGTGCTTCACGATGGTGCCCCCAACGTTGGTGCCGCCTGGGTTCAGGATGCTTTCTCCCAGGCAGAACTAGTTCTGGAGTCCCTGAGACTGGCCACTGATTTCTTGGGCGAGGGTGGAACCTTCGTTACCAAAGTCTTCCGGTCCAAGGATTACAACCCCCTGCTGTGGGTTTTCAAGCAGCTGTTCAATTCTGTTGAAGCAACCAAGCCTCCTTCGTCCCGAAATGTCTCTGCCGAAATTTTCGTCGTTTGCCGCGGATTCAAGGCCCCCAAGCGCATCGACCCGAAGTTCCTCGATCCGAAGCACGTCTTTGCTGAACTTACCGCTCCCACACCCAACTACGAAGCAAAGGTTTTCAACCCAGAAAAAAAGAAGCGCAAGCGTGAGGGTTACGAAGAGGGTGATTACACCCAACACAAGGAGCTCCCAGTGACAGAGTTCATCAACTCCATGGATCCTATCTCTATCTTGGGTGGCTACAACAAACTTAGCTTCCAGCAACCACCAGGTGGAGATCTTGCGCTGTCCACACTGGACCGTTTGGAGGAAACAACAGATGAGATTCGAACTTGCTGTGAGGATTTGAAGATCCTGGGCAAAAAGGAGTTCCGTAACTTGCTCAGATGGCGTATAAAGTGTCGTGAAAAGTTCGGACTTGTCGTCAAAAAGAAGCCAACCCAGGAAGGCGAGGCAGAAGAAGTGGCCGAGGTGGCCCCTATGGACGAGGAACTACAGATCCAGGAAGACTTGATCCGCATGCGGGAGGCACAGACCGCCAAAGGCAAGAAAGAAAGGCGCAAGGAGAATGAAAAAAAGCGCAAGGACATCATTCGAATGCAGATGAACATGACTACCCCCATGGAAATTGGTATGGAGCAGCTTGGCATGGGAGGCGAAGACTCCACCTTCACTTTGAGACGCGTCGACCGGGAGAATGCTAGAGATGCGGTTGTCAATGCTCGTGATCTTCCCGCCGAGAGCGGAAGTGAAAGCGAGTCTGAGTCCGAAACCGAAGAGAGCGACGACGAGGAGGACCGCCTCGAAAGGGAGCTCGACCACATGTATGAGCAGTACACCGGCCGCATGGAGGACAAAGATTCGAAATTGCGTGCCAAGAAGACACGCAAGCAATACGAGGTTGACGAGTGGGAGGGCTTTTCTGACAGAGAGAAAGGCAGCAGTGATGAGGAAGAGGAGGAGGATTCCGATGAAGAAACTGTCCCTACCGATCAAGCACTTGAGGCTAAGAAACTTTCAAACAATGCTTCCCTGTTCTTCGATCAAGATATCTTCGAGGGTCTAGAAGAGGGCGAGGACGAAGAAGAAGAAGACACAAATGAAGAAGAGGCGGAAGAGGAAGAGGAAGAAAACATCTTTGCGATGGATGAAGATGAGGAGGAAGAGGAGAAGACTCCTGCCCTCAAGCAAAAGAACATCAAGGACACAAAAAAGAACGGAAAGAAGAATTCTGTTTGGGTCGATGAGTCCGATGATAGCGATGCAGAAGAGACGGGCGGAAAAGATCCTCTAAAAGCGAATGGTCAGCTAGGTAAGTTGTAACTGATGCCAAACATGAACAAAGCCCCGACTAACATTTGTTCTTCGTCTGCAGACATCGATATAATTACCGCAGAAGCCATGGCCCTTGCGCAGTCAATGGCTACTGGAGAAAAGAAGTCAACTGACATTGTTGACGATGGCTTCAACCGCTTTGCCTTCCGCGACGTGGACGGCCTTCCTGAATGGTTCCTTGACGACGAGAACAAGCACAGCAAGCCTGTCCGGCCCATCACAAAGGCTGCCGCGGCCGCTATCAGAGAAAAGATGCGTGCCATCAATGCACGCCCGATCAAGAAGGTCATGGAGGCCCAGGGACGCAAGAAGTACAAGGCTGCTCAAAGACTAGAGAAACTGCGCAAGAAGTCAGCGCTTCTGGCAGAGGACGATGCCCTCAGCGAGCGAGACAAGGCCGGTGCCATCGCAAGACTGATGAGCAGAGCAACCAAGAAGAAGCCCAAGCAGGAAGTCAAGCTCGTGGTTGCGAAGGGTCCCAATCGGGGTATCTCTGGTCGTCCCAAGGGTGTCAAGGGCAAGTACAAGATTGTCGACGCTCGTATGAAGAAGGACGTTCGTGCGGAGAAGAGACTGGCGAAGAAGAAGTCCGGTAAATAGAGACAGTGTTCATAGTTCAAATGTTTGAATCAGACAAGTAACATAGCAAAAATAATTATGATACCCCAGGGTTCATTCTTCCACGAGTACATTCTCCAAAAATTTGTCAAATCCTCAAATCTTCATTTTTTGATGATTAGAATGTTCAAAACAGCACAGCCTGTTTGTCGATAGATCCACGTAGATGTCTACAGAAGACATGCATGAGGCTGTAGAAAAAGCCGCCAAGGAGGAGTGCCAAGGAACGCGGGATCGCGTGGTTCCCCGAGTGGCGCCTTAATCGATAAGCCATTCTCTTTTATTTTCTTCTCCCACTTCCTCTATTTTGCTCGCATTATACTTCCTATATTCTTTGATTCGTTTTAGTTGCATATTTTGCATCCATCTTTTCTTTTCTGCATTAGTTTGTGTATATCTTTCCCTATCCATATGGGCTTTTTCGACCACCTTCAGAAAGGAGGGGCCGGGGCCTTCTCTCTACAGCCAAAGAAGGCGCAAATTCGCAAGGTCGTGCAGACCCGGCCTGCAGCTCCTACACGCTCGGTCACACAACCCTTGGAGACTCGATCACCTCGAGTTCAGCCCTCGACCGAGCGGAACCGGAAGGCGCAAGCGTTGAAATCTCGATCGGTCTCCAGTGACCTCGATGCACGCCCGGCAAATCGACTGAGTACTTCCTCGCGCATTCGGAAAAGGCCGACACCCGAACAACGACTCTCAAGCGACGATGATGCAAGTGATACCGAGGCCTCCTTTGAAGTGCACAAACGCGTGAGGACCAGCGCCAGCGCCGAACCCGACCCAGAGCGGCGTCTCCGCTCGGTGAAAGCGTTTTTGGAAGAAGGATCTCGCCCGTTTAAAATGATACATGCCGCGGATATAACATCGGGTCAGAAGGCCGGCAAGTTCAAACCCGCCTTTGGCGCTGAGGCCAAGCCCAAACAGATTCTTCTGCAATACCCCAGTGCTTCGCAGCAGGAGAGGTACTTCACCTTTTGGTACGATTTGTTTGGTAACTTATGTGCTAATTCATTTCTCGGTCAGATACGACTCCGTGGTTCCCCGAGAAAATGATGAATTCCGACCTATCGACGACATTGTTCAGGTTATCGAAACCGTTGCCGACAATTATATCCCCAGTGAGGAGGCGGATCAATTCAATGATGAGACGACCGGGATCAAGCGTCGTTTGCGCCGGGCTTTGGCTATAACATCTGAAACCCAATTTCGGGAAGCGGTCGATGACTATAACAAGGCTATCCAGCGATTAAGGACCAACGGCAGTCTTGCGAGGCATTTGGATGCAACACAAGGCATTAGTTTACCTTGGGTGGAAAGAATCCTCACTCAAATCTATTCGCGCACGGTATCCCCTCAAGTGGAGTCCCTTCGGCAATACGAGAATGGCACGGACAATGTCTACGGAGAGCTTCTCCCTCGCTTTATCAGCACAATTTTCAAAGAAACCAAGCTCAAATCAGGCCACGTCTTTGTCGATCTAGGCTCGGGCGTAGGTAATGTCGTTCTTCAGGCGGCACTGGAGGTTGGCTGTGAGAGTTGGGGTTGTGAGATGATGGCAAACGCATGTGATTTGGCAGATTTGCAGCTATCCGAATTCAGGGCCCGATGCCGGCTTTGGGGAATTGCGCCAGGTAAAACTCATCTTGTTCGAGGTGATTTCCTCGAGCAAGAGAGTATCACCAGCGTCTTGAAACGGGCTGATGTGGTGCTCATCAACAACCAGGCTTTCACCCCACAATTGAACAACGAGCTGATCAATCACTTTTTGGACATGAAAGAAGGCTGCAAAATTGTCTCACTCAAGTCCTTTGTTCCGGCTGGTCATAAAATCCAATCTCGCAACCTGAACTCCCCGATCAATCTCCTCAAAGTCCAGCAGAAGAATTACTGGTCAAACAATGTCAGCTGGACCGACGTTGGCGGTACATATTTCATCGCCACTAAAGACAGCTCTCGGCTCAAAGCCTTCATTGATAATACGCCATAGTTTTCATTGGCTTCCTTGGCTTGGTATCGTGGCATGGCACATACATTTTTCATTTTGGCACTTTTGTACATTACATTGTCCGTTCTTGGATATACTGTCCCTGTTGAGTTTTTGTATGATACCAATTTCTGACAATTTGATCTGTACAAAATGGATTGTCTCTTCTGGTTCAAGCCTTACAGTAAAAGATTGGTTCGGCCCCGCCGTTCCTCAATGTTGGGAACTATCGATCAATTGGGCGTCTCAGCAATTGACACGACCTACATATGCGGGGACAACTGTTTTAGATTGCCATTGGATATTAGGATCGACGTTGTCGATCATCAGATCTTGCACCAGTAGATATCAAAGCTAGCTTGATAAATGATTTACGGGGTACGTGTCGAAGTGTAATATCGATTTTTGAGCTTTCGATCTTCTCACATTATAATGTTTTAGACGCATCATGACCGCATTAGGTCAATATTTGATCCCGACTTTTGTGTGAACAATTGCACTCAAGGAATTGCAAAGAGACGATGGCGGTTTTGAGGCTAGCTAATTATATAGCTATCCCATAATAGGAGGAAAGATCGTGAGCCGTGGGCTTAGTACAGCACTTGCTGTTCAGGCACTGAGTGGAAGAATCAGCAAGCCCTGGCATATGCTGCGTGATCATGGATCTAGCACTTCACATTACATCTCACGATTCAAGGTCAGAAGCTATGCTCCAGTCTCTTCTAGCAACCTTGCCCCGTCACCTGATCGGCGTATTGGGACTAGTCAGGAATACTTCGATGCGTCGTTCATAGCCTCAGCCTCTTTACCCATTCTGGCCATCCAACGATCAACCAAGTCTTGATTCTCATTTTTGAGTCGAGTTGATTGTTCTTCGGCCATGTTAAGTTGGAGGGTTAGTGTCGCTAATTCATCTTGGAAGTCCTACAGAAATGCACATAATTCTTGTTAGCCACCTTCCCTCACTCACCCCTGCGTGATTGGAAAGCCTAGATAAATTTCAAAATAGCCTACCTCTAGCAGCTTGGCCTTCCCTTTCAGCTCCGCATCTCTGTCTTTCAATCGTAGCTTCAGATGTGCTCTCTCGGTTTCCAAGGCGTTGATTCGTCGGCCCTCTTGCGAACTCTTTTTGCGAAGTGTTTCCACTTCTGTCTTCACTCGATTCAAGCGATCTTGTAATTCAGAGCGGGATCGCTGTGCCTCGGACAGGTCTGCACGGGTAGCATTGAGAAGGTCGGTCGGGGTAGGAACCAGCTCAGTTGATCTTTGCTTTCTGGATGGTGCAACTATAGAAGATGGGACAGTTGGCTGAGCTTCCCTCTGCGATATTGCAGGACTGGGGCATTTTGCTGCTGTTCCTAGTTTGCTTGTGCGATCTGCAAGCTGGGTGTCTACATTTGGTAAATGATGTCAGTCGCAATCGCTCAACAAAGAGCTTCAAAGATAAACTAACAAGCATCGTAAAGAGCAACAGTTGCTTTCTCTCGTTGATCTCGGACTGTCAGGGCAGCCAAGTATTCCTCCCTCCAGTAGGCCATAAGCCTTTCCAAGCAAGTGATGAACCTCACTTTGATGAAGTGGGGTTGTTTGCCGCCTCGGGAGCGAGACGCGCTAATCGTTATCAGTTGCCCACCGCCTGCTCCACCGCTTGGGCCTCATGCATCATCGAATCCGGCTTCAACCCGACTCCAACTCTCCTGGCTTGTCCTTACCTGCTCTATAAAGACTTAGTGCAGACTGATCATAAGTCTTTACTTAGTAGTGAATTTTTTGTTTATCCCCCGCACATTTACACTCGGTCACTTGGCCGGTTCCCAATTATGGCGTCAAGGAAGAAGGTTCTCCTCAAGGTACGATCCCCGCACCTGCTCCGTGCGACGCGCACCCAATGCTCCAGAAAAGGGGTTATTATGTTCATAAGCGCTTATTGGAAATCTAGGTTATCATCCTTGGTGACAGCGGTGTGGGAAAAACAAGTTTGATGAACCAATATGTCCGTTCAACCTCGGCCCCAACATGTGCTCTGCGGCCGTACCGCGGTCGGTTATGAATACTATAACCGCTAACACGCAAATTCTCGATATGAATAGGTCAATAAGAAGTTCAGTGGAAGCTACAAAGCTACCATTGGAGCCGATTTCCTCACAAAGGAAGTTCTCGTCGACGACCGACTGGTAACAATGCAGGTAAGGCCCTGGAGACCCTAACACAATCGTGGTTAGGGGCAATAACTGATTTGGAGGTGTCAGATTTGGGATACTGCAGGCCAAGAACGGTTCCAGTCGTTGGGAGTCGCCTTCTACCGTGGAGCCGACTGCTGTGTCCTGGTCTACGATGTGAACAACTCCAAGAGTTTTGAGGCTCTCGACAGCTGGCGGGATGAGTTTCTGATCCAGGCAAGCCCAAGAGACCCAGAGACTTTCCCATTCGTAAGTGTTGTTTCCGCATTGCTTTTCCTTCTTTCGTGCGTCACAGTGCGCCACAGCAGCAGGCAAGAATTATTTGTTAGCCTGTGCTGATGATTTCGTGCAGGTTGTTATCGGTAACAAGATCGATGTGGAGGAAAACAAACGTATGATCTCCTCAAAACGGGCCATGACTTTCTGCCACTCGAAGGGTAACATTCCCTACTTCGAGACCAGTGCCAAGGAAGCTGTCAACGTCGAGCAGGCGTTTGAAGGTGATTCAAATTCCGCCGCCTACCTTTTTTCTTCCAATCTTGCTAATTAGTGTCCAGTTATTGCACGGAGTGCACTTGCCCAGGAAGAGGCCGAGGAATTTAGCGGTGAATTCAGCGACCCAATCAACATCCATCTAGACAATGACCGTGATGGATGTGCCTGTTGATATACCCTTGCAATTCCCATGATGTTCCAGCGGCCTTTTTCCTTTGTATTCCTTTTTCCTCCCACGATTTGGTTGGTCTCCGGTTCTGAGTCTGTAGAGAAGACCACGAGGTTTTAATTTGGATGACTCTGTCCTTCCCCCGGTGTCCTGTAGATGTCTTCGGTTTCAATTGTGGAATTCACCTGAGAGAGAAGTATCGTGCTCAAGCTTTTATCGGTTCAGTTTAATGCAGATAATGTCTTTGTTGGGCTATTGCAATATTATCTTGATTCTTCCCTAATAGGCAGTTGGTCGCGGCTATTTTACCATAATCCAGTACGATCAGATGAGCTCTATATGTACCACCACGAGGGCAAATTCCTCCTAATTACAACCATTGTGTGCACATCACAAGTGGCTCCGGTAATTGTGCGGAGTCAGTGACATCGTCGAATGAGATCGGCCGCGACTACATTTCTCCCCACCCGGACCCTTATCTCGCCAATGCTTGGCATCTAGCCCCATGATTTCTTCGCTCGCATATCTTTAGGCAGGAAGGCTCGTGACCGTCATTCGTCTTGGACCGGGGATCTATTGCTCGTTGCGCTTCAGATGACACCAGCCCGAATAATACCCCGTCCAACCCGGCATCCTCGGCTGCAAACGTAGCGATTGCGACATCGGCGACACGAGGTTTCTAGCCACATTAGACCCTGACTAGTCGCGCAAATCTAACACCCCTCACAAACAATTTTTAATCATCATGACCTCGGTCACACCTGAAGGGCACCTCACGATGCCACTAGGAATAGCGCGGCGAACATTAGGAATCATCCTGCTCCTGGTGGTGGTTGTGCTATGGACAGCCTCGAATTTCCTTGGAAGTGTATGCGCGCCCTCTTTTCGAAAGCCCATAACGCAAAAGGCATGTATGGTTGCAAAAATTTGGCTAATTCACGTCGTATACTATCCAGACCATCTTCGCCGACAAAACATACCCGAAACCTTTCTTCGTAACTTACACAAACACCTCCATGTTTATGATACCCCTCCTTTTGATCGTCGCTCGTCGAACATGGGCTCTTTGGCGCCTCGGGAAACTCCCTCAGATTACTTCGATAAGAAGCTTTTTGAATCACTTGGATTCGCATGACCCCAAGGCCGAGGAGGAGAGCATGCTGCGCAGCGGCTCCGATGAAGAGGATGGGCAATTCGCGCGGGAGAGACAGGATTCTCCAAACGGAAAACTAGGCCTCAAAGCAACGGCTAAACTGAGTATTCAGTTTTGTCTTCTCTGGGTAAGCATACCACCTTGAGGTTTAGATATATGATTAGCTGGCTAACATAATGTTATAGTTTACTGTATGTCGTACACCTCACGGTGTGGTAGCTTGTGTGTTGGAAGTGAACTGACCGAAGCTACCTTGGATAGGCAAATTACTTCGCTATGGGGTGCCTTCAATTCACGTCAGTTGGGAGCACAACTATTCTAACTTCCACCAGTGGTAAGGATTCCCTTGTTTGGATGTGTTCGAAATCTGTTTCTGACCCTCACTTGTTTAGGTGTATGGACTATGGTCTTCGGCTCCCTGCTCCGTGTTGAGAAGTTTACTATGCGCAAACTCATGGGTGTTTTGGCTTCTCTGATTGGCATTATCCTGATTTCGCGCGTCGATCTCTCCACGCCAGACACAGGTGATGCTACGGATGGGAGTGAAGGCTCATTCCCACACAAATCCCCAGGGGAGATTGCCCTTGGCGATGCCATGGCCGCGTTCAGTGCCATCCTGTACGGTCTTTACACCGTTGTGATGAAGAAACAAGTCGGCGACGAGTCTCGGGTAAACATGCCATTGTTCTTCGGACTAGTTGGGTTTTTCAACATTATCTTCCTCTGGCCTGGCTTTTTTATCATGCACTGGACGGGAATAGAGCCCTTCTCTATGCCCGAAACGTCGCGAGTGTGGTCTATCATTCTGGTATGACTCCAAGCTCTCTTGTTCATCGTTGCGTCTTAAGTAGCTAACCTCACGCCTATCAGACTAACGCGTTTGCATCATTTGTCTCTGACATTGCTTGGGCTTACGCTATGCTTCTTACCACACCGCTTATTGTGACTGTCGGGCTCAGTATGACCATCCCACTCTCCCTAGTTGGACAGATGGTCCTACAGTCACAATACTCCAGCCCTATGTACTGGGTTGGAGCAGCTATCGTATTCTTGTCGTTCTTGGTTGTGCAACACGAGAGCAAACCTCAAGATGATATTGCCACTACTGATGGGGCAGGCGGGTCCTTCTCGGTTGAGTATAATAGCATTCCCGTTGAAGAAGAGGAAATGCGTTAGATTGAGGTTCGGAAATGTTTGGCATTTATTGCTACAAATTGATTGTAGCTTGTTCACATAACGATCTCATCATTTTCCTCGGTCACCTTTAGCTACCTAGCGAAAGGAATGGCAATCCCAATATAGATTAAAGAATCATCCATCAACATTCTCGTTGACTCTAGTTCTGCGCGTGCATTTCAGTTGACCTCTCCACAAAACTTGTCATCTGATCCAATTACAAGCTTTGTGATAATATGTATTGATTTTGTATATAAATGTGACGAGTGAACCATCATCCAGAATATCTACCAATTAAAACACAAAGAGTCGTATTTTGATAATGGTATAGTGATACATATCACCAGTTCTCCATGCTAGTACGCATCACATTTCGCGCATTGAGACTTTGGGTTCGAAAGTCGACAAATTTTTCTATCACCCTACACCACTGAAAGGCCTGTCCGGAGAATGGGAAATCATTCGGTTTCCTCCCTTTTTTTTGAGGCACTCCTGTTGAATGGATACGTTTGAACTAGTCGCTTGTGCGTACCTGCTAGAGTGCCCATCAAGTTTCTCACGAGAGCCTGCGCCACTGCGCTATTCATCATTCGTTGACATCCTGAATTGCATAGCCTCGAGTCAGTGTGTGAATCAAATTAATGGTGGCAACGTTCCGTCAAATTGACCGGGTTGAACAATGCAGACATCTGGGAATGCTGAATATAGTTTCTTCGCTGGAACATGTTTGAGTGTACTGTTTCTCATCTGCAATAAATATCAGGCAATAGAGGGCTACGGCTTGAGGCAATATGATACATAATAGGCGCTCAATATTGACACTGAAGTGGAAGAAGACAGAGGACAGACAAGGGAGATTGCCAGACTTGACGGTAAGAAGGAAGCATGGATGCAATGAGAATGCATTGCCTCGATGCATGAAATCAAACAACAAGGGTGTGAGAGAAGTTGAAGGTAGAAAAAAGCAGGGTAGCTGTGGGATGAAAAAGGATCCCCTTCGCCCACTGAGTGTGCGGAAAGGTATTAACGCCAATCTGTTCTTTGTAGACTTTGAAGCTCACCACGAAACGAGTAATCAAAATGGAATAATCAACCTGGGTATATTGAAAGAAAAGAGGTGAAAGGTAAGAGGGGAAGATACAGGCTCGTCGAGACGTAGGGAATACGAAGGGAAGGGAATGGAATAGGCCGAGTGGTTGTATAGGCTCTACTACGTAGAGCGAGTAGCACTATGCAGTAGTGCCCGGAGCGGGATCCAATCTCCTACGCGCAGCGAGAATGCTTTTTAAAGAGCCCAGCCAGCGCGCGAGGGACTCTTCCTCTGGAGCGCAAAGTCGATAGGTCTTTTCTTCGGCGATGATCTGCATGCAGAACTTCTTTGATTTTGACAAAGGGTCCACCTCTGCGGCATCAAATACTTGAGACATGGGAATGATCTTGATGGCAGTGTACTCCGCTTCATCCTTGTAAAAGGCCAGACTATTGGGTCGAAGTACAACCCAGAGTCGTTTCCACTGGCGCACGGTTCCTTGGATGCGCAGCCCCTGCAGGTACCCCTGACAGACGACCCGCTCTGGGTCGCGCAAGATGCCCAGGTCTGTTTGTTTGTTGGTGTCTCGGGGTAGAGATGTTGACGGCTGAGGTGCTGATTTGTCCTCTGGTGCTGAAACGGACAGTGAATGAATGGAGCGCATGGATCGTAGGTGGTTGTTGCGTGCTGGGGCAGGTCCATCGGAAAACTCTGAATATGAAGTCATGTCGTTGCCCGAGTAATCCTGGATGTAAGGGAGTCTCTGGGCATTTTTGCTGCGTGGGGATAAGACATGGCGTGGCTCGGGAGAGCTGGCGCGGCCAGTATGGTCAAAATCGGAGTGATCCGGTGTCTCGTCAACGAGTTGATTTGTATTGGTGGAGGGTTCGCGATTTTTGGTCCAACCCAGGAAAGCTTGCTCGTCCTCGTCGCCCGGAGTGACGGCACGAATGCGATCGATCCAGTCCTCGGCATCTCGTTCGGTCAGGGCTTCGAAGCGGTAGTTCGTAGATGGGGTAAAGACACCGAATACATGACGCCGAGTTGATCGCGGAGACTTGACAGGCGCGACGGCAGTCACTTCAGAGAGGGGAATGGAGACTCGGAGGCGGGTGGTTTCCTCGTCTTTGTATACGGAAAGGAGGTTCGGCCGGAGGACGAGGTAGGCGGGTTTCCATGAGGCGCGAAAGACATGTTTGTGCTTGACTCGGCGAGAGACTCTTCCCGTTTTCAAGACTCGATCGAATTCGAAGCTTCCATTCTCGTTGACTGGCGAAAAGGGATCCATATTCCCACTATTGTGAGGGCCTCGAAGATAAGATGAGGAGCCGGGTTCCGGGACTTTGTTCGGAGTTTTGCCCTCGGAGAATGAGGGCTTCCTCAGCACTGTATTCATGTTGAGGTTGGGTAGAAGGGAAGAATTGAGAAAAAGGGGGAACCCCACGGTGGTGGCTCTATATTGCCATGCGGAGTGTGTGATGATGGGGGGATGACGGGGATGGTCCTAACCGGAACCAAGTCTTTTGACCCTTCGGCTTCTCGACAAGTTAGGATCTACAACGCACAGGGGAAATGAAATGACTTTAATATGTCAGAGGTGATATGCTCGTGTAACTAAATTTAAATCGTCCTCTTGTAGCAATTTTGTTTTTTTTTGGAGTCACCATGCACACAAGCAAAATAAAGCTTGTATACGTAGTACTATGTAGGTGTCCACCGTACGCCATGGATCCGTACGCACTAGGCGATAGGCAAGATATAGGAGAAGTGATGTAGAAGAGAAAAGCCCAAAGAGAAGAAAGACAGACGAAAGACAGACGAAAGATAGGACTCCGTACACTCTCACTATCGCAAGGTGTTAAAAACTTGAGTCGTCCCAGGGTCCAGACCTTAAATGAGACCCCATCGACGATAAATTAAATTTGCATGGGTTCTTTGAAATGGAATTACAGATACAATACCGTATGCACATCACGTGCCATGTGTAGATCCTGTGAGAATTGTAGGACCTGATAGGTTGTATGTACCGTGTACCTATCTTGTCGTACCTGGTAGGTATTAAATACTCTGTACCGGGTACCTATGCGACTCAATCACAATGAGCACACATCTAAGAGGCTGAAGGCGAACAGATGACAGGGCCAGACATCCCCAAGAATTGTCACAGGCACTATTTTCGAATCCAACGGCCTGAAAAAAGGTTGGAGCTTGATGATCATACGCTAACTCTAGAGAGTGTATTGGCTACAGAAGAAAGTGAAAAAGTCATCTCAGGAGGGGTCCGACATTGAGGTTGTTGGAATGAACTGAAAAAGACCATTCTAACCAGCCAATACATTCCAGGAAAGCCAAATATAAGCCAAGGTTCAATGCCCATCGTCACTGGCCCATAGGGCCTAACAACGGTGAATCAAATGGGCTTAGTACAATATTAAATTGATCTGTGCCATCAGATATTCTTTTGGGATCCAGGTACAAGAGTTTGTGCATTGTACAAAGAACACAAGCATAAGCATAGTCCCAGCAGATGGGATCAAAATGTTCGAAGCTTTCCTGGTTAGCTTAGGGGCTAGTACAAGTGGTACTACCGTTTAAAATCACCTGGCCCCCTAGACCACGCCATGAGAAGCCATGGATCCGGCAAGAGAACATCGAGACCACGTGAACCTCATTTGCACAGGACATGTTACAAAACAAGAGGTGAAGGAGGGTAAACAGTTGAATATGAAACGTTAGAAGAAGCAAGCACTGCGCTAGTAAGAAGTGCAATCGCACAAAAAAAGTAAAGGATGACCGTACAATACCATACAATGCTGGTCACAGCGCCACTGCATTGTAACCAGGGGTAAAATAACCGTCTTAGGGTGACAACTGAGAGGCCACCGGACTTCGCCAAGACCAGGGAGGCGCAAGCAACCTTTGGATCCCATCCCATCTTCCAATTCCCCATCTTCTTTCTCCCATCACCCTCATCCTGTTTTGATGTCCCCGATCTCTCCTCTGTGTACCTTGCTGTTCACAGTTGCACGCGTTACTCCCGACGCTCTCCCCATCTGTCTATCGTGGGACTGACAAAGTTGGGGGACGAAAGGAGGCATTCCTCCGGCCACTCGTTTTGCTGTCATTTTCTCCATATTCACTTCTCGAGATCTCTTGACTTTCGAATCTTCCTGTGAGCCATACCTTCCGAATTTGATTTGATCGTGTGATAACTAACTTTTTCCCCGTCCAAGACGCATCACCCTTCTGATCACACCTCCGACACGATTTCTCCGCCATCTCCCTAACGGCCCCGTGCTGTCGCTTTGGGCCTGACAGCTGACCTCTACCCATATTCCTGTGATCCCACCACAATCGCACTCATGAGTTTCATTCAACGTATCACTAAACGGTTGCCCAGTGCGCCGAGTCTGCCGTTGGAAGACGCTCCAAACGAGAAAGGCCGCCTCCATCCTAGATTCGCCTTTTTCCGACGAAGGATTCGCCTAAAGGGCAACTCATCTATTTCGATACCCCTGGGTCTTGTTTTATTATTTCCATGCCTTGTAATTGTGCTTATTCTGCTCCTCTTTGTCCGTCACCCTGCCTCTTCCGGGGGGATCCTAATTCCAGCGGGCACTCCGCCTTCTATCCGGTTTGTATCTTCCTCTCAACTCGTGATTGTGCGTGTGTGTGTGTGATAATTAATCTCTTGCGCTTCACAGAAAAATCAGCGAAAAGCATGACAAAGTCTTTGCCACGGGCTGTATGCCCATTGAGCCAGATCAAATCGCAAAGGCTCCCCGCGCCAATGCCGCCTTCGTCGTCCTTGCTAGAAATAAGGAGTTGGAGGGCGTGGTCCAGTCGCTCAAGTCGATCGAGAGACACTTCAACCGGTGGTGGCACTACCCCTATGTTTTTCTCAATGATGGTGACTTCGATGACGAATTCAAGGCAACGGTCAGGAACTACACCAGTGCGGATGTTGAATTCGGCAAGATTGATAACAGCATGTGGGGATTCCCTGATTGGGTTGACCACGAGGTTGCCAAAGAAGGCATTAGGAAACAGGGCGATGCTGCCATCATGTACGGTGGGATGGAAAGCTATCACCATATGTGCCGATTCTACTCAGGGTCAGTCGTCAATGGCCGATGTAAGATCTGGGATGATATAGCTAACTTTCCAATAGACACTTCTACAAGCACCCTCTCCTGATGAAGTATGAGTGGTACTGGCGTTTGGAGCCCGAGATCAAGTACTTCTGCGACATCACCTAGTAAGATTTCTGCCGTGGCATGTTTTTCTGGCCAATTTGCTAATCTGCTGCTTTAAGTGATCCCTTCCTCAAGATGGCCGAGGCAAACAAGACATACGGCTTCACAATTGCAGTGAAGGAGCTTCGCGAGACTGTCCCTAACATCTTCCGGTATGCGGCTGCTTACAAGCGCAAGAACAACCTCAAGTCCAAGGGCCTGTGGGAGATGTTCCTAGAGCAGCCAGAGCAACCAGAAACTCCGGAGGAGAACAAGCAGGACAAACTGCCAGATGAAATTCTTCAAACTGACCCCGGTGACAACAATCTGAAGGACGTGGACCCAGAGGCCATGGAAGGCGAAAGCTATAACATGTGCCATTTCTGGAGTAATTTTGAAATTGCCCGTCTGGATTGGTTCCGTAGCAAGGAGTATGAGGACTTCTTCACCATGATGGACAGAAGTGGAGGATTTTGGAATGAGCGGGTATGTTAAATTACGTCTTTGAACTCTGCCAGGGAATCTTTACTGACTGTACTAGTGGGGTGATGCTCCTATCCACTCTCTCGCTGCTGGTGCTCTCCTCGCACCCAGTGATATCCATTACTTCCGTGACTTTGGCTACCGGCACACTACCATTCAGCATTGCCCAGCCAACGCTCCAGCCCGCCAACTTACCCGTATCCCCTACCTCGAGAAGACCACCGATGATGAGAAGAAACGGATCGAGGAAGACGAGTATTGGGCGAACCCTGACCAAGTCAAGGAGAACGGTGTCGGTTGCAGATGCCGCTGCGACACTGACATTGTCGATGTCGAGGGCAAGCAAGGCAGCTGTCTCAACGAATGGGTGGAAGTGGCTGGTGGCTGGGCTTCGCCATAGATCTTGACGCTGATGCCGTAGTGCTCAGTGCTCGCCACATCTTCCCGCGTCTCCTTTCCCCTGTCTATTTCTTCGGCCGTGTCTATCTCTTGGTTCCATCCTTGGGAGGTTCTGGCTGGAGCCTGCATGTTATGTTGGTCATGGGGTTCTTTTTCTGGGCGGCGTTCAACGGATCTGAGCTATTTTTTTATTTATTTTTTTTTTCGGAAGACGGTGTCACCATTTCCATCATCAATGTTGACACATTTATTCAAGCATGCTGCCACAGGGACTGGCTGTTGTGATTTCTCTGTTGGTTGCATTTGGAAAATAAAAAACCTGTGCGTCGTCGGCAGCGGAACTCTGGTCCCGTACCTTGTGGGGTTCCGGGACCATCTTGAATGGTCTTGGATAACCCTTGTATCCAATGTTATCTCTAGATTTCATTGTTACACCCTCCGCTCTACCGGGAGCATGGCTTCATTGGTGGTAGGAGACCATTGATTTTGGAGGCCGGGAGCAACGCCCAAAGCAACTCCCGCCGTCCGTCTACTTTGACGTCTCTTCGCCTCCTTTTTTGCCTCACCATCGGCCACTTCCCCGCCGGCAGATATTCCCCCTTCCCATTCCCGTGTGCGCAGTTTTTGTGGTTGTCTTCCAGCATGCATTCATGAAATGTACATACCTTCCCTATCTTCCCACCCATCCTTTAATCCGTGGCACACATCCACGGATTGTTTTCTCGCATTGCCCACCTTTGACCCTCGCAAATACCAGATCGAGCATGGCTGTCTATAGAGTATGGAATAATCACCAGGTCAATTACGTGAAGAATGATATCAGTATAATGCACTTTTCTTTCATCAGATTTTACTGTGATTTGGGTGATTCTTTTTTAGAGCAGAATCGTGATTTCCCGCTGTGTCACGTACGGCTAAACACAAAGATGCTACGAGCTCGTGCTCAGGACTTCGGTTGACCGTACATCGGAGCCCCTTTGGTCTTCTTTTCTCCGGTTCAATGTCGTCATATCTTGAGTCTTCTTGAGATAGCCGCCACATCTACACTGCCAATCTTTGTAACTCTTCCACCTTCACTGAACAGAGGCCGGTGGCGTAGCCAAGCTAGACTATGTATAAGCTTCGAGTATCATCTCACCCTCACCTCTTTATCGGAATAGAGATTTCATGTTATGATGGGAAATCCGTACTGTTCGGCTCTAGCGGTGGCTGTGATCTTTCCTTTTTTGTCGATGGATGAAATGGGGAGCGTATCAATCAAATTGGGGTGCTAGAAATTGGGGGAGTTCAGCCAGAAATGAGCCTTGGTGGCTTGCAGGTGATGTATACAGCTTCCTAGGCATACTGGCAATATTCTAACTTCGTGTGTCAGGTGTCAACAAACTATGGACGAACTGCTACTTTCGCTTCTATTCATATTCGGCTTAATGCAGATATTGAGCTCATACCAATTTCGCCCAGCAACACCATCACCGGATTTGTTGCCTTTGAAATGCGATTCATAAAACAGATCCAGGCAGCAGCTGAGCAGGCCCATGCAATCCTAGCTTGCTTTGAGCGCGTCGGTATTCAGTCCCAGTGTTGTGGCGAACAACCTAACATACCAGATATTCTGGACTGTGAATCTCATCAAACACCCGAAGATCAGCTGCAGTATGATGAAAAGTTCTCTCATTCTACACACAGTATTGGTTCCGATGACTATCAGACCTATGCGTCACTGAAGAACGTCCAGAAAATCCAAGCATCCACGGGCGTACAAGGCCAATCCAGATCTCGAAGTCGCATATCCGGCATGAAGCTCGAGTATCATAACCATCCAAGTCCCGGCATCGTAGGACAATGGATGCATCACCTCGATGATGGATTCGAACTATCCCAAGACGAAGACGTCCAATCCTTGACTATCTGGCTCCTTCCAATTGGATTCTCTTCTCAGTCTCCGGGGATGGAAATAGGTCAAGTCGCAGCCGTAAAAATTGAGACGACGCTTTCTTGCAGTGTGACATTTCGTGCTCCGGACTTCCAGTCCATCTCACCCCAAGTGCTGCAGCATCGTCAGTATCAGACTGACTCCGACGAGAAGCTCACAGCTATCTCTTGGATATTGAATCTATCCTCTGAACGTGTCCAAGCTGTCATTACTACGAATGGAAGTCGCCGAAACCCCCTTATATTGGTCCCCGAAGAAGTACCCCCCTTTGACCAGGTACGGAAACTCTACTTTGAGATCGAATTGTTGGGCTGTCGGTTGTCACCACAGACTACAAGCTTATGGAAATCGAGTTGAAGGTTGAACAAAACAAGCAGCCTCGGTGTGTAAAGCTTAGGCTTTCTGCCAATCTGCCCCATGACTTCGCCGGTACCGTTGATTATAACCGACGAGACGTGTGGTATAAGGATGATGCATCTGCGGAAAGCCTCCAACGTGTGTTCGAATATGACATAGTATATAATTCCCCAAATGGGTCGAGGCTTATTGGCATCTACATGTGCTGTCAGGAATTCTACCGTGTTGGAGCACTATGCAAGCCCGCTGTTTCTAAATCGACATATACAGAGCTCTCAAATCAAATGCTGGACACATCCTGCATCAGAATCAGGACAAAACACCACCGAGATTTTTTTTTATTTTTTTTTGCCCGTAGAGCCAGCCGACTTTCCACCACGCGCCGTGACTCCACACAGCTCCAGTCGGGGATGACTGCAGTTCACCAACGCAGGACTGAAACAGGTGTCCACCCAGACACATTTGGTTTTGAGGACAGCTCCTCATTGTAGGATGGCAGTCACAAAAAGCATGACCATACATTAATGTAGAAGGATGCCGGTTGACGGTGGTTAACTTGGGCCTCCATACTTCACACATTGCCATCCAGGCACTCGAAGCTAATCTTCGACTCCTTTTGAAATTTGGTGTTGATCTTAAGATACTGTACACGGACTGTTTCTAGTGCCCACCCTTCCTGCTGCGTCCATGTGTCATGATGCTGCGTTTGCATTTTGCGCAAGAAGCGGGTGGATCCTGCGTGCAGGGATTCTTCGGGTCATGCGCCAATGGATCTTGCTGACCGAGGTGGGTTTCAGGATGACCTAACACAGCTTTTAAAGGATTAGTTATCTCAGATTTAGTAGGTGAAGCAAGGTCAACACTCGATGGCTTTTTTTCAATCGCAATTCATTTCCGTGTACAGAGTAGACTGTTGACAATGGACGATGTCACCCTTAAGAGATCATGGTGGGGCATAGTGGAGCTGTACCTTATCCAATGTATAACAACTATAAGAATCGATCTAGTAGAAAAGATGAATTATAATAGGTTCAGGAGGTCAGTCCTTTCTTGAATTTTAAGTGCATTGGAGTTGGAGTGTATCGAAGAGGGGCAGACAAAGGGCTTACAGTTAAGTGTCAATGTGTCAATATGTTCTGGTACCTAGTACTTCCATCATCGCATGCAACACCATATATCACCCAGGTACCTTGTACTACCCCGCCATGACTGTCACTTTGGGTCATTCATTAATGTTCTTATCGCACCCCTTCATCAACTTCCACGTTACAGTCCTCTTTTATACCCCTCACCTTCATCTTCATTTGTTTCTTGGCTCTTTGAGGTTTCCACGCCTGCTTCCTAGGTACGCCCTTACTTCCCCCCAAGTCAGAAACGCACCTGACCGTTCTGACATTCGACCCCCCGCAGACCCACCTATCCCTCTATTTGGGCTCTCTGAGTCTCTGCCTAGGACTCTCTGCCTAAGTCTTCCATCCAGTATTTTCCGACCTTCCCTTTCCCTTTTAAAGTCCCTGCTCTATATCTCTCTGTTTCTAACTCTGCTTTCTTTGACCTTCTCCCCGCGGCTTGGGCTATCCCTAAGCTCCTGTTTCCGCCCACACCCGTGTGCTCTATGAACTTTACATCGACGAGATGACTGACGATCCAGACTCGCCTCACAGGCGTTTTCTCCGTGCCCAGACTGCGTCGAGTCTGCAATATCCAACTCTTCCACCCCTGACAGCTTCTGTCGAGGAGTGGTTATCCCGTTCACGGCCTGCCAATATGACGTCAGATCAACTTTCTGACCATTCGCCCAAGAACCTGAGTGATAGCTGGGCGACTCTGAGTGTGTCTGACATACGCTCAGAGGATGGCAGCCACTCCGAACAAACCGATATAGGCTCGTTGATTGACCAGGCCGGTCCTGACGATGTTGCAAGCCTCGACGAACGTTACAGTGGTAGCGAGGCCGAGGCACAGGATGAAGACAACCAAGATGATGATGGGATAGACAGGGAGGAAGTGCAGTGCACTGAATCAGTCTCCCAGGAGCTGCCTGCCCTCTTTGCTGCCAGACGAACCACGATCGATGACAGCACCACAACCACGAAGCCCTCCTTCCCCCACAGCAATGATTCAATCGAATTTGTGGAGCCTGAGAGGTGGCCCGAAGTTGAGAGAGTGGAGCTCAAGCATACTATCCGCACCTTCGAAGGTGCTGCAGCCTCAGAATTGAAGAGCCGGCTGCCCTACAATTCAACCGACTCCATTATCATGGCCACTGTTCAACAGACCATGACGAAGCAGAGTCTAGACCTAGACAAACCTTTCCGCGTGCTCTATGTCGGACATCCAGGATTCCGAAACATTATTCTCGACAAGATCGGTGATGTTCTGGTCTCAAGCTCATGTGCTGGTTCGGAGACCAGCTCGGCCGAATCTTCCCGATATCATGTCGTGCCGACCTCGTTTGGCGCCGGAGCTGTCCCCAACTTCGCGGAACTTCTCCCGATTCATGTCCAGCTGGTGGTTGACGAGTGTCTGGAAGCCACAACTGACCCCCACGCGGATCGGCCTAATACACTCAGCCTGAAGTTCAAGAACCGTCCTATCTGCATTTCGGCCTGGACAGGGTCCGGCTACCATGTAACATCTGCAACCGATTGGACTCTACCAGACGTGGCAATTCTCTTTGTCTCAAGCCTCGACGATGCAGTGGCCGTCAACACCCAGCGTCTTGCCCACATGTTCCTCGAACGTCATGGGGTCCCAGCGATGATGATTTCAGAGGAGCCACTGTGGAAGATGGCCGGAGAGGTGATCCCTCTAAACCACAACAGTCTGCACACATGTTTAGAATCCCGCCATCCAGTTTCCGGAGAGACCGCAGTTCTTCGACGGTATCCTATCGATTTGAAGACTTTCGAGAGCATCACACCTGGTCAATTAAATCGAAACCTAGCCTCACTGGTCAGCCTGTATCCCAGGAAGGCACATAAAGTCACTGCCGACACTCCCAGTCTTCAGCAGAGGCACAAATTTGCGGATCTTGAGAAGCATCCTGGTAATTGGCTCCCGCCTTCCTATGCCACGCGGGCCCGAGAGCTAGCCCCCACGCTGCGTCTAGTTGCCTTGACTCTCATTTCCGCCATCGCCATCTCTATTGGGTATGCGGCTGTTAGAGTTCTGGTCATTTTTTTAGTTCAGTGCTTTGCCGGATCAGCTCTATCCAATGCGTCCTTCCCAGTGGCTTCCCATGCCCCTCCCACTTCTGCTCTGACTCTAAATCGAGTGGTGCAAACCTCAATCTCCACAAAATCGGCAGCTTCTGTGCGAGCATTGCATGTGCCCTCTTGGGGAAATGCAATCCCCGAGGATGTCACTGTGCCAACCCTTTCTGCCGCAAAATCATCGGGAACAACGAACGAATTTGAGATTCAGGTTGTTGGAGACTGCCATGTTATCATCAAACCCCCACATAAAATTGCGTTATCCAAGAAACAGCCACAATTCAATGTTAGCGTTCACAGAGAGAACAAGCCTCTTACATACGAGCTGTCACAGCTCTTTGATGGGGTCTACACACTGAAGTTTAACCGCGAGGATGCGTACGGGTTAGTCAACTTGACGATCACAACCAAGTCAAAAAAGCCAATCAGCCAGACCATGACTGTTGACTTCGGATCTCCATGGCTTAAAATCATAAACTGGAAGCGTGCAGCACAGGAAATTTCTTCGCAATTCGCCAAGGAAATCCATACGGCTCAGACCGGCCTAACTGAGGTATACGGCCGCCTATCCACTGACTTGCAGGTGATCGTGGGAGATGTGGTGAAGAGAACCCATCTCTTGCGCCGCGATGCCGAGGCCCTCCACCGTGAGAGCCTTAATGCACGCGACAGCATCTTGTCACGTTCGAAGCAAATCTCAGAAGTCTTGACTCGCAATACTATCCAGCGATTCCGGAGTGTTTCTTCCGTGCTGCAAGTGCAGTCTAGTCGCCTGGACAAGGAAGCCAAGGGCCTTGTTCATGATGCATGGAGCCGGCTTGGGAAGTCAGCAGCCAATCTTGACCTCCACAGTCTGACGGATCGCGTCCGCAAGTTTAGGAAATGCAATGTATTGGATCGGGCTCAGTCGCGTGCGCGGCATCTTATGGGATTCCGGTCTGGCGAGTCCAGGGATTGCTCAGACCTTGGCTCAAAATGATGAACGAACTTACTTTACGACCTTGTGTTTGCGTTTTCTTCTATTAATGAGTTGGCTAAGGACTGGTTTTTGTTTATGGCGATCAGGTTTGGTAGTGGGTGGCAACTATGCTGGAAATGGGGTTTCACGTGAACTATTCAGTCGGAGCAATGGTATCTCTTATTTAAAGAAATTCAACTGTGGCCCTATCCAACGGTACCCACTGAGATAGATGTTCACTTCTTTTTTTCGTTGATGTGTGTTTCTTCATGTTGCATGTAGTTCATAGTTACAAACTCCGTACATCAAGTCCACTCTAGGCAGACGAGAGCGGTGTCCGGTTCTGCCAGGCATGGGACCCAAACTAAGTATTAATTTTTTCCCCCTCATCGCCGCTTTCTCTGATCAACAAACACTATCTCTACTTAAATTCCACTCTATCTTTTGTGGATCTCTGCCATCTCTCTTTTGATCAATTCAAACCGGTCCTCTTGAGCCCCTCACCATCATGTCTGACATCACCGCGACTAAGCCCGACCCCGCCATCTCCGTCTCTGAGACCACCACCGCCACCGGCGCGGGTGAGCAGTCTACCACCGAGGCCGTTGCCGAGACTGCTACCAAGACCGTCGAGAAGGCTGTCGACACCGCCAAGGACGCCGCCGTGAAGACTTCTGACAGCATGTTCTCCATGTTCGGTGGCGGTCCCAAGAAGGAGAAGAAGGAGGAGGCCGAGGAGCCTACTGATGAGCCCTCCGGTTCTTCCAAGGCTCAGAAGACCAATGATGAAGTGAGTTTGATACACCTGATGCCGCTGGCAAAGGTGGTGGTTGTTGGACGCGTCTACGATGGGAGCGGAGTCTTGTTTCCCTTTTTCCCGATAGTGGGGTAGTCGCAACCAAACCATGATATGCTAGTGCCCATTGTTTCAGCTCCGCGCATATACTGACCATGCCTACTCAATGTAGGACGAAGTCGAGGAGTCCGCCGATGTCCACTTCGAGCCCGTGATTCACTTGACCGAGAAGGTTGAGACCAAGACCAACGAAGAGCTTGAAGAGCAAACCTTCAAGATGCGCGCCAAGCTCTTCAAGTTCGACCGCGATTCTAAGGAGTGGAAGGAGCGTGGTACTGGTGACGTCCGCCTGTTGAAGCACAAGGAGAACCAGAAGACCCGCCTCGTCATGCGCCGCGACAAGACCCTCAAGGTCTGCGCCAACCACTACAGTGAGATTGCTCGGTCATCTTCTCCGAAGACAATCTAGTACTAACATTTACTCCCAGTCGTCCCCGACATGAAGCTGAGTGCCAACGTCGGCAGTGACCGCAGCTGGGTCTGGAACGCCGCCGCCGATGTCTCCGAGGGCGAGCCCGAGGCTCAGACCCTAGCCATCCGTTTCGCCAACAGCGAGAGTGAGTAATTCTAATCCCAACTTGATTTCAAGCTTTCACTAACCATTGTTTAAGACGCCAACGCCTTCAAGGATGCTTTCGAGACCGCCCAGGTGGAGAACGAGAAGCTCTTCAACGCTGAGGAGTAAACCACTCTTTTTCTCTCGTCGTCTTGTTGATTCTTCGCGAGGATACCCGATTACCGTGCACTTGGCATTCCAAGGCATTTGGGTTCATTGTCCCGGAGCTTGCTTTTGAAAACCACAATTTTCGCCCCTTTCACACCGTTTCACCCAATCATCACCCCAATCCATCCCAATCCATCCCATTCCCACACCATCCCCTACGACGCGACGAGTGAGGCAGCAGTTATGAAGATGCTCCTCACATAGCTATTGCGAGCCATGCAGTCTACGAAATGGAGGGCAGTTCGCTAGGTCGGTGGTTCTTCGGAAGTAGATAGACATTTCCGCATCGAATATACCTGCACATCACCCCATACACTGAAGAGATCCGAAGAAGAAAAACCCCCAAACCCCCCCCCCCCTAAAGACAAATAAAAGTAATGATGAGTATGCTTACGAAGCAAGTGTATAGAAAAATAATCCCATAACATCTTCAACCCCCAAAAAGAGAACCATCCTTGTGCATATATTCTGTTTTCACTTCTCAAAAGATATGCACAGGAACAATGCTAGGACTGTAAGGCAAATTTGTATCTAGCTGGATATCATTTGATCCCAATAGTCTCAAGTCTGTGTATGATGTATGAAAAGAGGCAAATCACTCGGAAAAGTGAGAGAGAGTGTCGAGGTCAAGTTGAACATGGGCCTGAAGATCGTCCAGGACCCTCTGACCTCCTTGAGCTTAATTCACCGCTTCGTCAAATTGCCTTGACAATATATCAAGAGACTAACCTATATACGACTTCTTGCCGCCTAGTTACAGTGAGGTATTTCCTACCAAGTAGTAATGATTTCCCATGCTCATTGCTCACTCCGATAGACAACCGCGCAAACTTGTCTCCGAGACGCCCACCTCTCCGCACGTCAACGTCCCCTTTCGGCCTCAAACCTTTAGAACCGCACATTCTCTCAAGTAACGACCCGAAGTCGCCAACTAAATAATCATGCCTGACGTGAGTATACAATCCCCTCACCAACTGTCGCGAGCTTGCATCTATGGTCTAGTACTGTGGGTTTGTAGCTGTGGCCGACCTAGCCAAATCTGCTCTTTTCTCTGTTTCCAGCACAATTCAGCTTGCATACACTAACACTCCTCCTCAATAGGTCAAGCGCACTGTCCGTCTCATCACCGAGCAGAACATTATGTATGCGCCCCCCCCCTTCTGTCTACCTCCACCTTCCTTCCCTTCGCAAACCCCAATCTGAAAAGAGCGCCTGGAGCTACTGTCTCTTCCCACAACCTCCTTTCAATACCATCGCCCAATTCGGTCCTGTGGCTTGCAGGACACGAGGTAGATAATGCGCACAAGGATGAAGGGGCGCGCGCGTCGCACACCACACCACCCCTCTTTTCTTCAAACCCCCACACCCGTCCCTACATATACACATAAAACATGCTGGATCCGACACATTGGCTGACTTGGGCTCTCTCTTTCCACATCACAGAGATAAGCCATCGGAAGTTGAGGGCTTCCCACAGCGATCTTGGCATATTGAGGTCTGGCTCGTGAATGAAAAGGGCGCCTTGGTCCCCGCGAACATCTTCGACAAGGTTACCTACCACCTACACCCCAGTTTCGGTGAACGTGCCACGCAGGGTATGTTTTGGTCCCTATGACTGGTTTTTTGATTTGGTCTTGGCGACGTCAGGGTTCTCTGATTCAGAAATCCCACGACCGCAAGATTTGGTCGTGCAGTGCTCCGTGTGTGCGAGATTTTCGGATTGGAGGGCTAACGCGGGATTATCTTCCACTTCGAATAGTCTTCAAGCAGCCGCCGTTCCGCATTCAGGAGGAAGGATGGGGTGAATTCGATATGTCAATCGAGCTGACTGCCGACAAGTCGTACACCATTCAACACGACCTGAACTTCGCCCAGACCCGTTATGAATCTAAGCATGTTCTCGTGAGTTTTTTCTTGAGAACCCCCCCTCTTTGAGAGAATTGATGGTGTTCTGATCAATGACGCGATTTTTTTCTTTTTTTGGCCGGTACAGACTTTCAAGAACCCCAAACCTGCTTTGATGGCCGCGCTGCGCGAATCCGGTCCCGTTCCCGGTGACGAGAATGGTATCAAGCACAAGCGTCCTGCTGGTGGCGAGGAGAGCGCCAAGAAGAAGAAGCGCACAGATAAGAATGCAAGTTGTTTCTGTGATTCGGGTTTGAGATTGGGGTATGCAGGACTAACGCGCTCTCAAGGTCGACATGGACAAGCTTGCCGATGGGCTTCAGAAGCTGAACGAAGATGACCTGCTGCAGGTTGTGCAGATGGTTCATGACCACAAGGCAGCAGACTCATACACAAAGAATGATGTTGAACGTAAGTTTCTAAATTTGCCCTCGGAAAGATCAGAGGAAACGAACACATTTTCTTCTTCTGCCTGCTCGGTATTTACTCCGAACAAAATGCTAACCACGGTTTCAATCCTACAGTCGGAGAATTCCATGTGGACTTGTACACGCTCCCGGACGTGTTGATCAAAATGCTCTGGGAATTTACGGCGGACCGCGGAGCCCTGTAAAGGACCACCGAGCGAGCGGAATCAGGAGAGAAACCAGGGCGTGGGAGTGTTTAATCCGTTTTCTTCTCATTTTCTCCTCATTTCTCGAGTCTTCTTTGCTTCTTTCTACACTGCTATGTATCCTCGGTCTCCACGAGCATACGTCTAGCTACTTTCTCATGTTTTTTTCTGTCTTTGACACGGGGGAGTTAGCGGACTACCGAAGGAAATTGGATGGCTCTTTTTTCATGTCTTTCGCGCTTCTCTGATTCTAAAAATGCGCGTATTCTTTCTCTTGAACTTGAGAGGGTTGATGGGACGGTCTTGGTCCCTTTCACTGGTCTCTTACTGGAACGCTGGCGGAACTTGCGAACCCCGTAAAGGGGGGGGGGGTTCTTTTGACTGCTTCTTTGCACTGGATACTATGGATCTTATACCATTCTCGAAACTCATTGCACTCAGGGGTCTCCCTCATTGCTCTTTTCCGGGGTCTCTGGACAAGATGTGTCTCGAACAGACAAATCCTCTTGACATCTTGCATGTGCCATATGGGACTGTGGATGTCTACGTTCCAGCTTCCTCAACTAGTATCTTCCAATGCACTTACAGGTTACAATAATGGCTCTAGCCTATACTTTGAATGACATGAAGCATTCGGGGACTACATGTTATTACCTCTACAAGGAACGAGGATGTCGTCAAAAACCCCCATGTATTCCGTGAGACTCGTCAAGTGGCTACGGAGAACCTAAAGGCTCAGCCACGACTTTTTCAAAGAGCTCACACGAGAAAGCTCGGTTCGATTTGGGTCGACCTGCATGGGCCTCAACAACTTGGTCATGTTGATGTCTTCATGCAAAGGTAAGGTACCCTGGTGCTACAGGACTCTCCGCCTACGCTGTCTCATGGGGACTATGGTGAGATGGTGGTTGGGAGGGATGGGGAGAGGAAGAAGAGAAGAAGAGGAAGAGGGGGGGGGGGCGCTTTTATATTGTAACGTCCCACGTACCTTCCCAAAATGGACGGCCTTTTGCTCTTGCCTTTTTCATCTTTCAGGTTAGGGACCGGTTGGAACAGGTGATCACACGGAACCCTAGTTAATGTATTTCTTGTAGATACAAGGCTCAATCTAAGGAGATGACCAATGGCAGAGAAGACATCGCAGTAAGAATAATAACAGCAGCATGGGATATCTCAAGCAAATCAACAGGAAGCCCGGTCCCCGCCGGGCTGGGAATAGTAGGGACATGTTCAGACAAGGAGAGAAGAGAAACGCAATGTGCCCAATGGGACATGGCAAGATAGTGCCAGACTATCGTTAAACCGAGTCCAAAGCCATACACCCCATTCTAGTGAACAACGCCGTTTCAAGAAGATGTGTTCTTGATTCGTCGTTTTTTTTTCCAGTGCAGATGATACATCCAACGTCAAACAGATCGGAGACAATGGGAGATGTGGGAGGAGAGCATTTGAGAGAGTAGAAGAAAAAGGAAAGACAAGTCAGGTCAAACAATGCAGAGACCACGAGGGAAAAAACCAAGACGCCTTGCTGCTATGCAAGTAAATGTGGGACGGCCGAAAACGTGATAGCCAAGAAAAGATCACAGCACACGGTGTCTGTAATGATCAATAATCAGTACACGGGTCAGTGGGGAATGAACAAGCGCTTGGGAGTACACACAGCTTCAACAAGTCCTCGAGACTCTCAGCACTGCAGCTACGGCCGCGAGGAATGCTACGCAAGATATCGACGATCGTAGCAAAGACATCGCCGTCACGGTATGCCAACAGAGCGGGGGCCTGGATATGATCCATCTCCGCAATATCATGGTGCATCTTCACGAAGCGGGTCGTAGGTTGTCTGCGAGCGACCGTAACGAGACAGTCCTCAACGATCGCGCTGTCATCAATCTATGAGATGGATTAGCAACCCATACCCCCCGCATTTTGATCCCGGAGACCAATTCCACACATACCTCGTGATCATAGATGCAGACAACAACAACCGTGTCCGACGTCACCTTCTCAATAGCATCCAGGTACCCCACCGCATCTACCGTCTCAACCGAACCAAACCGTCTCCCCCGCGGACTGGGGCGACGACTATTCCAATCCTGCAGCTCATGCATGCGCGACTGGCGCCACTGTTGCATGAAGCGGGCTTCGTCATCGTCCTCGCTAGCAGAGGAATGGTCGCCGGGTGCGAGGGGTGCGTCATCGAGAGTAGACTTTGACCCAAGGGAGGGGATGTTGGAGTCTGGCCCCGCGAGGCTGAGAGTGCGACGGAAGGACTTCTTTCGGGCCCGCTCGAAGGCCTGGGCGTCGGCGATGACGCCCTTTGGACCTGTGTTGGCTTCATAGACGGTGTTAGGGATGTGATAATTTGCGTTGGCGGCGCGAGAGGAGACCATGTCTGCGTCTTCTTCGTCGGAGGAGTCAAGTGTTTGACCGGAGCGGAGGCGGGAGGAGGGTTCGTTGTCGGAGTAGTGGGGGTCTGAGTCGTGGTCGTGGTCTTCTGGGTGGGAGGTGAAATGTGAACGGTTACCGTTGATGAGCTGGTTAAATTCTTCTTGGGCGGACATCTTGACAGAAAGGACAAAAGGAGCTTTTTGAGGACGATGTTTTCAAGTTGGGAAATATGGGATCGGACAGTGATATGTTTCGAGTTTGGCTAGGATCAAGGATCGAGAAAAGGCGGTTATTCGAAGATGGTCACTGATATTGAAACGGAGATGAGGCTGAGGACGGAAGAGATCGTTTTTTAAAGTCAAAGTCCTGAAACGAACAGCCCCCTTTTTCGTGTTTCAGGCTCCACATTGAACATCCCCTGACGTCAAGAAAATCAGGTTGGTATAATTGTCTCGATGTCAAAGACTGTCTCTCTGTCTCTATTCGAATTTACTTGTCGGACAGTTCAACAGGTATAGTCCGGAATAACACCTTGTGTGCTCAGATACCACATGGGGGGGGGGAAAAATCGTATCACAGGTTCGCGGCTATACTTCGTGCACATTCGATCGCCAGATAGGTAAAATCGCCTTCGATCGAGATTTATCCCTGTCCGGACTGAAACGAACGTCCCCCTACTGGCAGTCAGAACATCTCCCAAAACGATGTGACGTGTCTACTACGTGTCTTGTTTTTAAGGTAGCCCCATGCTACGTGCGTAGATCGTTCTGTCTCCACCAACATCCCAGGTCTAGATGTGTCGATTTTCTTGTCTTTTTTTTTTTGAAATACGCGGGTGTCTTCGTATGCCCAGTTTGGTTGGAGATGTAGGGGTGAAATGACCTTCAAAAGTGTGAATGCGTGTCAGGATAACCACAGGGCGAATGCTGTTTGTGGACTCTGATTTCGAATCCCATCGGACGCCAAGTTTCGACTTCAATGTTAGTCCCACCTCTCCGGGATCAGTGGTCGATTCTCCTACCCGTCGGTTAACCTTCCCTTGTTTCATGTCAGACATTCTCAGGTGGAGCAAGGTTATCCCAGGATCGGTGAGCTACGTGTTAGGCATCAATAAATATTGACCGGGGTGAACATGAAGCCAGAGCGACTAGTTGAGCCTGGCATGCAAACATGCATGGCAGACTCCCAGCCACTACTGACCGTGTTGTTCGTGGCCCGATATATGTGAAGCCGAAGGTCTGAACACCCACAACCTACTGTCATCCTGCTCTGTCGTCTCAATTGATCACCCAGAGACAACTCCTCCCAAGATGGCCCGGGAGGGGAGAGCAGGTTCTATCCTACAATTGGGCCGAGGTTCAAGACCTTGTGTGCATGCTTTTTATCTCATGCTCGCCGCGCTCGCATTACAGAGAACCAAGTCAGGCAAGAAGGACACGATGCCCGATACTATCCCCTTCAGTCGGTACCGCGGATCGAAGATGGAGAATCGAGTTTGAAAAAAAAAACGGTCACAAATGGAAATTGGAGCTGTGCGAACCATTATCAAAATCCAACACCAAAGAATCCCAAAGCAAGAGATTCCAACGCAAATACAGTTAAGTACAACAGACTCGTTCTTGCGAGACACCAATAAGAGGGGAGGAGCTAGGAGAGAAGAAAGGAGAAATAGGGAGAGAGAGAGAGAGAGAGAGAGAGAGAGAGAGAG